CTTCCCAGTGGAGGATCCCTTAACTTTACTTTATGGACAGAATTTTGTAGGACCACACAACTTTGGTCAAGGAGAGCCTGAGCACTGGGGGGAGCGTGGAGGAGGACTAAAGAAGCTCCCAGCCATCTCTAGCTCCATAGAGGAGAGGGAACTTCCATCTTCCCTGCCTGGTCTTAGAGACACAGAGTCAGACATATTGATGAATCAGGTCCCCTCACAACCTGCTTTCCACTGTACTAATATGAATGGAGACCATGCTGGTTTTCCTCCTACAGGGGGGCTGACAGGTCAGCAGGGTCAGCTTGGCTGGGGGACAGGACCTGAAGGAGATGTTCCTCTGGAGAATCACCAGCCAAACTTACCTTATGACCTAGAAAATGGTGACGGTAGTGATGACCTCCCGCCCCCAGAGGCTTGCCCGTCACCAGTGCCCCTTCCCCCCTCTGAGGACTGCTCCTTCCAGGATTCCTCTAGTGAAACCTCTTCCATGTGCTTCAGCCTGAGCGAATCCCGCTCTGAGTCCCCGCCACCATCTTCCCCCCTGGCCAACGGGGACACAGATGGAGAAGTGTTGAAGACTAAGAAAGGGCAAAAGAAGGGAGACAGGGTAGCCCCTATCTCAAAGCACAAACTGAGAACCAGGATCAGGCCTCGCATTGACAACAGGCCAGACAACAGCCCCTCGCGTATCCCCACGCCGGTCAGCTACAGAGATCTACAGGCTCACGACACGCTTTCCCCATGCCACACCCCACCAATGTCTCCTCAAAGCTCACACTCTACTGGTCGTCCAGCCACATGCAAGAGCCTGCACCAGGCCTTCGCAGACATGATCCATCCTCAACCACGATCCCCAGCCATGGGCAACAAAGAATGCTCCTACCCTGGACAGTCAGGGAGCCTGGACACTGAAGCTTGGATGTAGCACAAATGACGCAGGGGGTTGTTGTCATGAACTTTGACTACTGTGTAAAAAACCCCCAACAAATGTAAGGCTGGGCTATAGACTGTTTTCATTGCATGTCTAACACTCCTTCTTTTTCACTTAGTTTCTCCCCTGAATACCTGCAGGGGGTTCACGTTGCTTTTATTTTGCACTCAAGCCAAAATTATTTATTACCAAAGGAATGGTCTTTAATGTTACTTTTACTGTAATTTTAATGTGTGCATGGGGATGCTTTTGCCAATCATAAGGTTTTTTTTTTGTTTTGTTTTTTTGCAAGACACTTGTGAAATTCTCATGGTTGATACAGAGAGATAGAGAGAGAGCATATGTGCTGCCATTTGCCCCACTGAGGGGTATGGTAAAGTGCCAGGGATTGAAAGCTGCAACTCTATAAACAGTGTAAACACTAAACCTTTAGTCAGATAGATTGGCTCCCTCTTGTGGTTTGCCAGAGCATCTCAGCTTGCCTTGATAGTCAAAATACTGTTTTGATGTGATATTTTCAGTCTCTCCACATCAGTGGTTTTCACATATGACTCATTATACTCATATTTACAATATATTGATAGGTAACATAGACAGAGGTACCCCCATCGTTCTTTTGTCTTTATGAACATTACATGCACTACCAACGTCTGTACAGTTGTCCGCTGTTATCAATGTCTGATGTCACCTTTTCACAACAATTGGTGTAGTAAAGATAGATATTTGTTTTTGGATGCTTAATATGTTACAGGTTGTCAACATTATGTTTAATGCAGGAAAACATTTTAACCATATTTCTACTTTAAGTGGATTGAACCTATACATTTACGAGGAGCAGTGAAGGTTGTATTACTTTGTGTCATTGTCACTGAAACAGAAAAGTTGAGAGCTCTTCCTCTGACCAAACTGTATTCTGGAAAATATACATGTGCAAAAAGTCAAATGCTTTGGAGAATGAATGTGTAAATAGATGATGTGCTCACTGATAGACGTGGGCATTTTGTATATAAAAAGGCATTGAATATACAGTTTAATGTACATATTCACTGTAATCAGTTCTGTGCTGCCTTAGCTATGCAATATTGGTGGTGGAAATGCCTTGACAATTCCCTTTGCCTTAAGATTTAGTCGCAGATTAGTTTTTGAATGTTTTCACTGGACATCACTAAGATCTATTCGGTAACACTACATTGCCATCATTAACTGTTTATGATGATAGAAATTGGAGAGTTTGAGTGTGAATGTGGGAAAAAATAGTGAGGAACGTTGCCAATTTGAATTATAAATTATACTTGATGAAGGTGTACAAATCATGATAAAGATATATAATTTATTGCCTCTGAATCATATTAGTGGTTAGAAGCCAGATAACCTACTTAGCAGATGGATTTCAAAGACATGGCACAATCTGTGGTGACCTCTAGTGGCTAAAGAAAGACATGAACTAAGAGTCTGTTTTCCTTACGCAGTACCCTTTCCTCCATAGTGTCCGGATGCTGATTGGAGCCAATAAAAATGGTATTATAAGGTGAAGTTTGATGGATGAAGAATGATTTTGACGTGAGTGTCTAAGTGTGTGCAACAGAGCATGAATAATAGATGCTGTAACTGGATATGTTCTCTTGTGATGCTCTTGCACAGAGTATTAAAGGCCAGACTCCAGCTACTGTACTTCTGTTGTTGGTATTTGAACAGATGTGGACTTGTGGACTGTAAAATATAATTGAAAGTGGAGATGTAGGAATTGTTGTGTTAGTGCCCTGCAGACACCTCCAAAAACATCTTGTGAGAAATTGGTGGCCGTTTGTTTTTGATGTGTTTAAAATTGGTTTCGGTCGGTAAAAAAGAAAGAAAGAAAGAAAATGTGGATCACGTGTTTTTGTAGGGCACTGTGAATAGGCTAGGAAAAAGAAGAGTGCATGTATGTGTGTACATACTGTATGAGAATATGTACAGAGTTGGAGTTAAGAAAGGGGAGTGATGTTGGTCTAATTTATTTATTTAAGAAATTAAGTCTCATGGGGCTTAAGTGACATCTGCGTCCCAAGTACTGTTGAGTGAGCTGTAAATGTTCAGTGAAATCCAAATGAGGCAGGTCCCAATGTGTATAAACATCATACGTTTTAAGAGTTTTAAGTTTTCTCAACAGTACACCGTAAAGAGACACAATGATGAGTTAGAAATGTTTAAAACTGGTATAATCCTCCAGATAAACTAAACACATCGGGGCTGTTTTGCAATATTCAGAGATACAGTAATTTGATTTAATGCTGACTGCTCATTGCCACAGATAATTTACGGTGTACCAGTATTGTTGGAGCTACTATTGATCCGATATGTAGCCGGTTATCAGTTTCACCTGTATAAACAGATTTATTCTAGTTGTTTTAAATGTAAATTTGTTTTGGCTTATTTGAAGACATTTGCATTTTGATCGACTGGTCGTCTAAAATGTGCCAGTTATGTAAACTGTGACTTCATAAAAACACGCCATGAAATGCGGTTGTCCTGACATAGTCTTTGTCCTGCACAACTTCGTGCAAATTTAATGAAACTCTCTCTCTCGTTCTCTCAATCCCTAATCAGCGAAATTTTGAATGTTCATGATCAGACAATTTCTTGTTTGCTAATGTTATTTTCACTAAAAACTTAAGTTAAATGTACAGATTGCTTGACATTGTGGAATTTGTATGTATGAAATAGCAATACTGCAACATTTCACTGTTTTTTTCTGTTTTTTTGAAGTTGAAAATGCTGTCAAGTTGTTCTTGTAATAAATATTTTCCTCTGAAGTTTATGAATTATCCCTGATCAATTTTTCATGTAGAGCTTCTATCACAGCAGCATGTAAAACAGATTGGGGTTGGACTTTAAAGGAAGTTGTGCAGTGCCTGTTTGAGAAAAGCCAAAATCTCAATGTGGTTAATAACATCTTAATTAGGAACTTTTTACACTTGAAACTAAATGTATTTGGTGCATAAGATGGACGATACTGTGTGTAAATGTTGACTGATATCTGATCTCTTTGTGCAGATTTTGCAGTGTGAAGTTAGAAAATGCAACAAAACTGAATGTCATATACCCTGCCCCGTCTTTGAGTATGTGTAGAGTTGAAATAATGCAATTTTACCTGGAAATAAGTGACAAAAATGCAATCATACCTGGGAATAAGTGGAAATAATGCAATATTACCTGGAAATAGGTCTAAAAAATGCAATTTTACCTGGAAATAAGTGACAAAAATGCAATCATACCTGGGAATAAGTGGAAATAATGCAATATTACCTGGAAATAGGATCTAAAATAATGCAATTTTACCTGGAAATAAGTGACAAAAATGCAATCATACCTGGGAATAAGTGGAAATAATGCAATTTTACCTGGAAATAGGTCTAAAAAATGCAATTTTACCTCCATTTAGCGTGTTTATTTGGTAAAATAAAGCTAGCTAAAACTACTGTCCCATGATAAAACCTACCTTTGTGAAGTTTATAGTGTCACATTTTTGTTTTTAACTGTTAATAGAGAGGTGTTCATTTACCTTAATGAATGCAGTTTGTGGTGCTGTTGATTATTGCATTATACTCAGAGGTGTTTCTCATGTTCACTCTATTTAAATTAAAGGACAAACACCTATTACTTATACCATAGCTACATCATTAAATTTATATTATATATTATTTATTTTTCTTCACGTTGTGAACTTTTAGAGGTCAGTATATAAACCTGCAACATCCCAACAGTGCGCAGAGGAACATATTTGTTGATGCACTTTACCGAGCAGCTCTCTGTGAATGAAATCTGACGCTGATGTCTGTTTGCGAACGCTATTTTGTGGAAATACGGAAGTAAAATCAAGTGGGAGGGGACGAAGGCCATCACTGCCCCTACTACGCCTGTCACGGTAAGATGTTTGTGGCTTTTCTATCCAAATTCATTGCTTGGCGAGTCTAATTTTAACTCCAGAAGCTACGCTAATTCCTCGGGTAAGGTTTAAACCGGGCCGATAGATTAAGAGCTTAACTATCCCTGCAAAAGGTTTCCTTAAGCCTGTACTTAGAAGGTCATGTCTCAGCTGTGCAAGCTAGAGAAAAAAAAAAAGAAGTGGCCAGGCGCTAGCTGACACTGACAGGCACACTGCAGCAGACAGCTAGCCTTTTAGCCTTCAGCTAACCAGTAACTACTGCAAACATGCAGGAATGGGCGAACCAGCTATGCGTGAGTAATTGATTGCACATCTATCGGGACTGATTTAACCAACTTTACGTGGTCGTTAGTTACACAGGTTTAGTTTTCTTCCAGAGGAGTGTTGTACACACTCGAGCTATGCTATGCTAACCGCTAACGTCACGGTAGCCCGGATGCTAACCAGCTAGCGAACCTTTCCTCCACTTTTTTTTTCTCTCGGCCAAAGTTAGCAGCTTAACTCAAAGTCAGCTGTTGTGAAGTGCTCACAATGTTAGCCTGGAGTTTGTTTGAGAGTTGAGAGTTAGTTCAGTGTTGGTGTGGCTCGTTGGCAGCGTGAATTATCGCACAAACATAATCCGGAGTGTCGTCTTGCTAGCTACGTCGTCGGTTGTGTGTTTGGTTGACTTGTGGCTAACAGGGCTTCCTGACGATGACAGCTACCTGAGGATCGATTAATGATGACACTGCAGCGTTAGATCGATTAGGTGGTGTAATTGGTAGACGCTGTTCATTGTTAGTAATAGCAAATTAACGTTAGTAACTGATAGGCCTCATTCATTCAGACTTTATAGCAAGTAACTCTCTGCTGGCATCTTCATGAAGTTTCATTCAATTTAATGTTATTTGAAATACAATTACTACCTGTATTATCTGTATTCTTGTTATATTCACACTAACTACCTGTATTATTATAGTTACATTCACACTTACTACCTGTATTATTGTTATATTCACACTTACTATCTGTATTATTATAGTTATATTCACACTAACTACCTGTATTATTATAGTTATATTCACACTAACTATCTGTATTATTCTTGTTATATTCACACTTACTATCTGTATTATTATAGTTATATTCACACTTACTACCTGTATTATTATAGTTATATTCACACTAACTATCTGTATTATTCTTGTTATATTCACACTAACTACCTGTATTATTATAGTTATATTCACACTTACTACCTGTATTATTAGAGTTATATTCACACTAACTACCTGTATTATAGTTATATTCACACTTACTATCTGTATTATTATAGTTATATTCACACTTACTACCTGTATTATTATAGATATATTCACACTAACTATCTGTATTATTCTTGTTATATTCACACTAACTACCTGTATTATTATAGTTATATTCACACTTACTACCTGTATTATTAGAGTTATATTCACACTAACTATCTGTATTATTAGAGTTATATTCACACTAACTATCTGTATTATTCTTGTTATATTCACACTAACTATCTGTATTATTCTTGTTATATTCACACTAACTACCTGTATTATTATAGTTATATTCACACTTACTACCTGTATTCTTGTTATATTCACACTTACTACCTGTATTATAGTTATATTCACACTTACTACCTGTATTATTATAGTTATATTCACACTAACCACCTGTATTATTATAGTTATATCCACACTAACTACCTGTATTATTCTTGTTATATTCACACTAACTACCTGTATTCTTGTTATATTCACACTTACTACCTGTATTATAGTTATATTCACACTTACTACCTGTATTATTATAGTTATATTCACACTAACCACCTGTATTATTATAGTTATATTCACACTAACTACCTGTATTATTATAGTTATATTCACACTAACTACCTGTATTCTTGTTATAGTCACACTTACTACCTGTATTATTGTTATATTCACACTTACTACCTGTATTATTATAGTTATATTCACACTAACTACCTGTATTATTGTTATATCCACACTGATAAAGGCAATAATCATTAATATTATTCTTAAAACACTTTTGGAGCTATGGATTATTGATTTATTATGGTCAAGAAAAACTATGAAAGCTGTCTACAGTAGCATCTGATTTAAATAGGTCAGTCAAATTAATGAATTATTAGCTGTTAGCCATAATAATGTTGATTGAGATGCTGTGTATTTCATTCATTAGATGCAACTGCCGGGTTTTACATCATGTATTGTGGCAATAAAGTATCATAATCATTATATATATTTATATAGAACTATACATGATGACCCCCGAGTAAAGAAAGCATAATTCTCAGCAACATCAGTGTGTTGTCATTAACACTGTAACGAGAAGATACACTGAGACACTAAATGGAGACACTGTATATTCAGGGCAACAACAAAAGAGCCAGTTAGTGTAATTATTACACACACAAACTATATGTTTCTTAAAGTACGATACAGTTCATAAGGCAAAAAATGTCAAAGGTTTTTGAGTAAATCTCGGTTCTATTTCACCTTGTTGTTTCACTTTTTAATGGGAATTTCTGTTCCTTTCTTTTGGGCTTAACTTCCCTTTAACTTACACCACGTTGCACAAATTTTATAGCAGGAAGTCTTGTTGTGTAAATGGGAGAAACTCTTTCACAAAGAGGTGCTGGGTCAACAGTGGAAATCAACTACAGGAAATACATATAGTTAACGTTAGGGTTAGGGCTCGATAAAAGAGATATTGTTGGCCACATACCTGCTGACCAAGAAGATTCAAGTTTAAAGAGGAGATATTAGTGTGTGTTATCTTATCAAAAACTATTGTTTTCTTTTCTGATGCATCGCTGCCATTTGTTCAGCAGAAGACAGGAATTCCTTTTATTTCCCTGTGCTTGCACTTCTAGTGTTTCCTGTTGCTCTTGTGATGCTCCAAGTTTCCACTCAGGAAAAGATTTCACAATCGTCTTTGTCACCCTCTCTATCTTTTGCAGGAGAATCGACAATTTGGATCCAAGATGACGGACTCCAAGTACTTCACCACTACTAAGAAAGGTCAAATATCTCATTATTTTTTAATTTATAATATACATTATTTAAATTGTAAACCACTGAGGGACAAGTCACAATTGTTTCCAGTCTCGAATCAATGCTTGCATCCATGCATTGTTTTAAGGTAAGGCAGGACCTGGACTTTTTGTTGTTTAGTATATTTACCCATTACCTTACTGACCTAGCTTGACCTTGAAAATTAAACCAAAGACATTATTATCACCCTGCTTTGTTGTTGTTGCCAAGAACAGCTCGGTTATTGTAAATCAGATTAGACATATTGAGCATTAGCTGTCAGAGATTTAACCGTCCTGCTGTGCCTCCTGTTGTGCCCGTGTGGATCCTCTCACACAACCCAGAGCTGTGCATGTTCCCACACACAGGGCTTAGACAATGCAAACAGACACTTATAAGTGTTAGTGTATAGACTCCTCATGTTTGTTAGGATTGCTTGAGACAAAGGTTTCTGTTGCTATCTGCTTTTTCTGTGCATTTGCCCAATGTTGCTGTCTGCAGTCTGTTGTTAACATCTTGGAGGAGATTGGAAGCGATTAGTGCTTTACAATTCCTGGGAAACTCTAAGTAGGTAGACTAAAATTTAAGCTCAAAATAGGCACTGTACTGTCAGTGTTTGTTGTTATAGTCTAATTCATGCAGGTAGGCACATCAGTGACACTGCATTAAAATGTAAATTGAATATAGTTGAGTCTCTTTCAGTTCTGTACAAAGCAACAAAAACATTCTTTGTCATCCTCGATCACATGATAACATTAGGCTTTACTCAATACATTACCTACCCTACAAACTGGAGCTGTAAGTGTGCTGCTGTTAAGCTACTAATAATGCCAAACGAAAACATCCTGCTGCAACTTTATGATAAAAGCTTTCTATCGCTGGACCACTCGAAGGCTTAAAGGGTGCAGCAGCTATCATGCACTCTGATCAAGTGCTTGTGGCCTGTACAGTTAAACCCCTGATAAAGAAAACCACCCTCCACTATCAGAAACTGCTGAGGATGTCAGTGTCCCCATTCTGTATTTATAAGCAGTTTTGGATAGATAAGGGAATACTCTACATTTTGTGTCAGTATCCTCTTTCAATTTTGCATGTCTTGTGAAAAGAGGGCGATGTTGCTCATTCCCCCTACATCACAAATGGATTATTTGATTATTTGATTAGAACATTATGTATGATTTCCTTTTTTCTGTGTGTGTACAGGGGAGATCTTTGAGCTCAAGGCAGAGCTAAACAGTGATAAGAAAGAGAAGAAGAAGGAGGCTGTGAAGAAGGTCATTGCATCTATGACAGTGGGCAAGGATGTGAGGTGAGCCAGAGAAGACTCAGACACATCCACACTGGAATAATGTACTGTAAAACATCACCTTCCATTTTGAGTCAGTAATCACCTAAAACCTTGCCCCCCCCTTCCAGCGCCCTGTTTCCAGATGTTGTGAACTGCATGCAGACGGACAACTTGGAACTGAAAAAGCTTGTCTACCTCTACCTGATGAACTATGCCAAGAGTCAGCCAGACATGGCTATCATGGCTGTTAACACCTTTGTAAAGGTAAAGCTTAATGTGTCATAAATGTGTAAAAATCTATATTAAATCATCATATGTTCATAATTTATCATTCAGGTACAGTAATTATTTACATGCAATGTGTCAAAAAGTTATTAAATAAATAAATTATTATTTACAAAAGGAAATCTCTTTTGCATTGCACTGTATGATTGGGAGGATGAATAATGCTAATTTCGACCTACTCATGCATGTTGTTTTGGTCAGCACTTTGTACAGCACTTTGTACAGCTGTGTGAAGGGACTTCCCATTGTTTTCCTTTTGAATCTCTCTGACTTCAATCAGATAATTAAGCAAACCTCATCAGTATCCTTTAAAGATAGATTTTTCTTCTGTCTATTTTCTCATCAAGCAATAGCAGTGATTGCTCAATATATGATGATTTAATTCTTTACAGAGTGCTAATGCACATAACAAATGTCTGACACATTTAAAATGTCTCGGATAATGTAGTATTATTTATATATATATATATATATATATATATATATATATATATATATATGTATGTTGTGACAAAACTTATGACCTCTCTGTACCACCCCCCTAGGACTGTGAAGACCCTAACCCTCTAATCCGGGCCCTTGCTGTGCGTACAATGGGCTGCATCCGTGTGGACAAGATCACAGAGTACCTCTGTGAGCCCCTGAGGAAATGCCTAAAGGACGAAGACCCATATGTGAGGAAGACAGCTGCTGTGTGTGTAGCAAAGCTCCATGATATCAACGCCCAGTTGGTGGAGGACCAGGGCTTCCTTGACACCCTTAAAGACCTCATATCGGACTCCAACCCCATGGTACGACTCCTTTAGGCAGCCTAGTAGCTGGTTTTTGACCCAGCCAGATGTCTTACACAGGATGGCACAAGCTACAAGCCCCTGCTCTGCCTTTCCCTGATAAGCCCTGTCTTGGCATACAAATGTTGAACATATTGCCAGAATTGCGTTAATTCAATGACCTCTCTTTTATATCTTAATATACCCGGTGGCTACTGTTGTTCTGTCGGCATTTATCTGTGTACTTGTCTCTCTTTAGGTTGTAGCAAATGCAGTGGCAGCGCTGTCTGAGATAGCAGAGTCTCACCCCAACAGTAACCTACTGGACCTGAACCCTCAGACCATCAATAAGTTGCTGACAGCTTTAAATGAGTGCACAGAGTGGGGGCAGATATTCATTCTCGACTGCCTGGCCAATTACACACCTCGTGATGACCGTGAGTCCCAAAGGTAAGAGGAAGCCCTTTGCATGTCAGTTAGCAAATATTTCCAATAAACCCTGTGTAATTTCCTGCTCTCTCTTTCCCAACATCACAAACATCTGCTAGCATCTGTGAGCGTGTAACTCCGCGGCTCTCACATGCCAACTCTGCAGTGGTGTTGTCAGCAGTTAAAGTTTTGATGAAGTTCATGGAGATGCTGCCCAAAGACCTGGACTACTATGGCACCCTGCTGAAGAAGCTGGCCCCTCCACTGGTCACTCTCCTCTCTGCTGAGCCGGAGTTGCAATATGTGGCCCTCAGAAACATCAACCTCATCGTACAGAGACGGTAAATAAAAGTTGCATTTACTTTTACATTTACATTTAATGGTACATTTCAGCTGGATACTTTTTCTATTTATTGTATTTTAGTTCATTGCCACAAAAAACTAAGAAATGTTGATGCTCCTTTTTAGCCCAGAGATTCTGAAACACGAGATGAAGGTTTTCTTTGTAAAATACAATGACCCAATATATGTCAAACTGGAGAAGCTGGATATCATGATTCGCCTAGCATCTCAAGCCAATATTGCTCAGGTAATGCACCAACAGCCATTACATCATTGATATAAGACTATTATCTTGCATCTAGATATTCTTCACAAGATGAATGTGATGTCTGAGTGACACTAATGCTCCTCTTTCTTGCTTCAGGTGCTGGCTGAGCTGAAGGAGTACGCCACTGAAGTGGATGTGGACTTTGTCCGTAAAGCGGTCAGAGCCATTGGCCGCTGCGCCATTAAAGTAGAGGTAGGTAGAGATGATGTCATACTGTCACCAGATGCTTTGTCGGTCAGATCTTTGTGTCATCTATGCAGTTCGATGACAAAGCATTATTGTTCATATTTACTATTACTTAAGATCAGTCAGATCACTTTTTTCCCTGATGTGCCACAGTTGTAAAGCAAACTAGTTCCATATTGTGGCACGTGTTTTATTTTTTTTTATGCATACCATATGCACACATTTAATATTTATTTGTTTATATTGTTTTCAAACTGTGGGGCTATCATGAAAGAGTTGTTTTTTTCTCCATTCATTAGCAATCAGCAGAGCGCTGTGTCAGCACACTGCTCGACCTCATCCAAACCAAGGTCAACTATGTGGTGCAGGAGGCCATTGTCGTCATCAAGGACATTTTCCGCAAATACCCCAACAAGTAGGTTCCTTTGTAGACATTCATGTGGTCAATTTCATATTCTTTTTTACAGAATGTTGAGTCTGTACTTTGCTGTATTTATAATACATTAAATAGAACTGGACACTTAAGGTAGGTGATTCTGTTGTGAGGCTGCTGTTTAGTGTCATTATGTTGTGTGCTCTGTTTAATGCTTTGCATTGTTGTCTGAGCTATAGTATTGACTCACACAAAATGTCATACACAAGCAGAAAACCCGACAGTTCCACTTCACTCACACTCAGATTATTTTCTCTCTGCCTTTAAATGGGCAGAGGGAAAGCTCATTACACAGACGTGAAGCGTCTGAAGTGTTTTCAAATTGGCATTTATTGAAAAAGGCCTTCAAAAGAGCTTTTAGACAAGAAAAAAATCTCAGTAGCACAGAGATTGTTTGTAGTGTAAAGCCCTTATCCATATTCTGCCTTGATTGCACCTGGTCAAAGGTCAGGTGGATTCATCCGGAGCGTGACTTCTGCCGTGGATCCAACAGAGTGGATTCATGTGCCAGACAGAAACCTCTCCCACACATCACTGTGGAGTCGTGAGTCTCCAAGGGAGCAGCTTTGCAAAGCCTCCAGCTCGGCATGGCTCAAGCCTTTAGCTGTATGAGTCACTACCCACTCAAACTTCTGCTTTTTCTATTAATTAGACATCAACTAAATCTTTCCGCCCAGAATATTTTGTAATAAAAGCATTATGTAAATGGAATTGGTTATTATCAAGAATTTTATGCACATCAGAAGTACCTCAACCACTCCTGCTGAAAACATTGGCTAATTGAACATCTAGCAAGCAAAAGACCCAAGGACAAACCCAGAGCTAAAAGAACATTGAATATTGGATTTGCATTTGTCAGGTTGCCAGAATACACAACTCTGATGTAATGCTAATGTTGCTCTGTGTCTCCTGAGTGTTTAAAGTAGGCAGTAGTTTGCTTCCATGTTTATGTTTAATAAGCTGGTCACACGTGGAGGCTGTTAGTCTGTCAGCTTGTTTTACTGTTTTTGTTTTTTCTGTTACTGGTGGTCAGAAATAGATTAATTGTCATTGACTAAATGAGAGTAATTTGTTTTTGTCTCTTTTAATATATTTGCAATATTTGACCGCATGTAATATTGTTTTGTGTGACTGTCCAGGTACGAGAGTGTGATTGCCACTCTGTGTGAGAACCTGGACTCCCTGGATGAGCCGGAGGCACGTGCCGCCATGATCTGGATTGTGGGAGAGTATGCTGAGCGCATTGACAATGCTGATGAGCTTCTGGAGAGCTTTTTGGAGGGTTTCCACGATGAAAGCACTCAGGTGTGTTTACGAGAGTACTGGGAGGTTTTTATTTTAATATTATGAAGTCAATTTTTAATGGTAGTGGCGCTAATGCCAGCAGTAAGTAGCACACTAGTTGGAAAAAATTAAAGCCTGTGATTAGCTGCTGCAATGCACTGAAAATGGAGGTGGCATGCCATATACAAAGTACTATCCTACATCTGGTCTTATTTAAGTGACAAAATTTGTAGTAATCGAGAGAGAAATAGAATCCTAGACGAGTCAAATAGTTTGGATTGTATTCCTTAATGGGAAGACATAATATAAATAATAATGATGGGAACACTTTTTATATTCAGATACATTTTGTAGACAAGCCACTCTTCAGAGTGTTCTGCCACAGTTTGTTGTGAGATTATACTCTGTTTTACTTGCTTCAATGGCTCCCTCTAAGTAATAGATCGATTCCCATATTATTGCCTTGGAGAGGCTTTTCTGATTAAGTGATTTGTGGGTAGAATGAAATGCATAATGCATAAAATGTTCCCTTTTGTGCTGTTGTTTATTAACTGCAGATTAAACTAGTAGTTGAAGTAATTACTGTTTAGCAGGGTGTGTCATCCATGGGAAACATAAGCACTGAGAAGTAAAGGAGTTGAAATGGTGTTTATTTTGTGTTGTTAAAAGATCATCTTTAAGATTCACTTTGCCACTGTATTACAAGTTAGACTAAATTGTACCTGCACCAGCTGCATTTAAAAGTAGTATGTGAGCATGTTCTGTATGCTTTAACTGTGTCCTATAGGTGCAGCTGCAGCTACTGACCGCAATCGTCAAGTTGTTCCTGAAAAAGCCCACAGAGACCCAGGAGTTAGTGCAGCAGGTGTTGAGCCTAGCCACACAGGTAAGTGGGGAAAAAACCACACACACACACACACACGCAGTTCGACACATACATTTTACGTTCCTGCCATCTTTTTGTATTTTTTCCAACAAGTTCTCTGCTTCTTAATCCTTTAGGGACACAGGAGTATTTTAATGGCAGTATGGATCTGAGCCTTGCAGTACCCTCAGTAATGACTGCAGTGGTTTGAGCTTACTAATTGTGTTTTAATGGTGCTACGTAGCACAGAAAATTCTGTGCAGTATTATAAGCAAATTATTATGTCATATTTATTATGAGTTGGTGCCTTTTTTCTCTTGTCCTCCAATCAGCTATGTACACAAGGATGACAGAATATCGCAACACCTTGATATGATGCAGTCTAATGCAACAACACCGATTGCTGGGGTTTCAATAACGACCAAAGAGTTGTGTCAACGTCTCTCTGACACAGTGTCACTAAATACAGAACATTATAAGTTTCACAAAGAATGAATGTATTACAGGGCTTGTATATTCTCTGTGCCATTGTAATTCTATAGATTTATCTACAGTAATAAACTGGTAACTCTGTTTGTGGATGAAACAGATGTAAACAAACATTACGGAAAAATACAGTTCGTAAGTTAAAAGAACCTTCAAAATACAGTATTTTACTGCAGTGTTAAATAAAATGTACTGTCAGGTTGCCTCATACAAATCCTAGCACTACCAAGGTTGGCTTAGTTTTTGATATCTTTGAATCACTGCACAGTCTCTCACATCGGGGGCCGAGACAGAAAAGAGTCTAACAATAAGTATTTATTAAACAAGCTCCGTGAATAATAATCGATCCCCCTCATGCCTCCATCTCTTTCTGCAGGACTCTGATAACCCAGACCTCAGGGACCGTGGCTACATCTACTGGCGTCTGCTCTCCACAGACCCCGTGGCCGCTAAGGAGGTGGTTCTGGCTGAGAAGCCCCTGATCTCTGAGGAGACAGATCTGATTGAGCCCACACTGCTGGAGGAGCTTATCTGCCACATTGGTACTCTGGCCTCTGTCTACCACAAGCCTCCCAGTGCCTTTGTAGAGGGCAGTCGTGGCGTTCAGCATAAGAGACTCCCTGGCAGTGCTGGATCGTGAGTCATGCACATTCTTTTTTTAAAACACTGCAGGAAAAGGGGTTTCTTTACATAAGCTGACCCAGCTTGTAGACTCTACTATTATGTTTCCCTTCAAATCTGCTGAGTAACACACTTTCCAGCAATGTCAAGCTGTGCAGTTATTCTCTGTTCCTTCCTGCCTTTGAATACAACTCATCACATCTACATGCTATTTTTCTCAGTGGACTGGATCGACCTATATCAGCAGTTTAATGACAAATTAGGCCTACAGTATGTTTGAAAATCACCAGGAATATAAAGTCTACAAAATGGTAATTGAATAAATGACTTAAAATGCATAACTATATTAATTGTTTTTGTTTCTACTAGTGGGGAGAGTGTTGACAGCCCCGACACAGTTTCTGCTGCTGGAGTTTCTGAGGCGCCCCCTGCTGTCATCCCATCCCAGGGAGACCTCCTGGGAGATCTGCTTAACCTGGACCTGACACCTCCTACCACCTCCGGACCACCTCCAGTCCCCTCCTCTGGGATGCAGATGGGTGCTATGGACCTTCTTGGAGGAGGACTGGACAGCCTGGTAGGTCCTCTACACACTACTGTTTGAGAGAAGCTGTCAGGTGTTCAAAGGCTGGTATAACGCATTTGAGTTGATTTCAAAAACAGGCTAAATGACAATGGGACCCAATGACGGTAATGTATATTTGTATTTTGTCTTTTTTTTCTGCCTTTTGGTGCTTTTTTTTTTTCTTTTGACCCCTTTGTGTTTTCCTTTCTTTGTTCAACGCTGCACCTGCAGATGGGGGATGAGTCTGAGCCGGTAACTACATGGAGGGAGAGGGAACAGCATTTATAAGTCATGGCAGGCCATGTTAGAGGATCAATTTAATCACTGCTGTTTTACTGTAGTTTTCATGCATCAGTCTGACATTTTCATTCATCATTTATCATCTTTTATTATTATGATATCTACAGTAAGCATGCTGTTAAATCCTTGAGTCCATCTCTTTTCTTATCTCTGGGCTCTGCAATGTGTTTGATGTTTCAATCAGCCACCCATTCCCCTGCGGACGGACACTCCTCAGTCACCTCAGCTCTCTCATCAGTCCCCATCGCCCCCAGATTACAGCCCCACTGAGGTTGGTCCAGGGGACCACGCTGGACCAGTAAAGGCCAGCACCAGCCTAGAACCCCCTCTTGTCCCCTGTTGTACTGCTGTGTCCTCTGAATAGTCTTCCCCAGCTGTCATCTGTGCCTGTTTGCACTTTATATTACATTGTTTATGTTTCCCCACTCCATTTAGGGGAGATTTTTTGTAAATCTCTCCTATTCTTTTTTTTATATGAAAGTTTTGTCTTCCATACAAAGTAGTTTAGCTTTGTCACTGTATGGAACCACTATATTTTTTGCACCACCACTTTTGTTCACTGCATCCCCAACCTTTTCATCACCACAGTAGACACATTTAGTGAGTAGCATTTGAAGAAAACCTATTGGATTTCAGTAGCTACTCAGTCGGATTTGTGTGGACAGTAAAAGGTCAGTTACATAAGAGGAGAAATTCTCCTTTACGGGTGTCTCCTTCTTGCTGTTGCTTGTTATTAGTGTAAAACCCATAGCTGTCATTAATCACGGAAAGACATTTCTTAGACCCTCACACCCCTCCATCCATCCTCTTTAAAAACCCTGCAGAATATTTAATGTTGCACCAGTATATAACCACATTTTTTTTGTGCTTCCCCCCCAACTCAGCTTGGCGGAGACCTTGGAGGAAGTCCTGCTGTAAGTCATTTTGTCTGAACTCTGTTGGGCTTTGATTGCTCAGTACAAGATGACATTGAATGTTTCAGGGTAACATGTTGCTTTGTGACCTACAGATGGGGGCTGCCTTTGGTGCTCCTCCAGCTGTGATGCCAGCCTCTTTCAGTGCCCCTGTGAGTGGCGGTCTGGATGATCTGTTTGATCTCGGAGGTGGAGTCGGTATGCCTATGGGAGCCTACAGCCCCCCTAAAACAGTGAGTGTTGTTGAGATGGGATGAGACATAATAAATTATGTAACAGCAGTGATGGGATCGCTAGTAAAATAACGATCTTGTCTATGTTCAGATTTGGCTTCCAGCCATGAAGGCCAAGGGTCTGGAGATATCCGGCACTTTTGCCCGCCGTGCTGGTGTCATCCAAATGGAGATGACCCTCACTAATAAAGCAATGAGTGTCATGACTGATTTTGCAATCCAGTTTAACAGAAACAGGTGAGATCACTTGCCAAGTAATGTGCTGAGATTTCTGTATATTTACACATTCTGTGACACTCCCCTCACCTTCTGTGTTCCCCTGTAGCTTTGGTCTTGCTCCGGCTGGTCCACTCCAGGTTCTCACTCCTCTTAGTCCAAACCAGACTATTGAAGTGGCCCTTCCCCTCAGTACTGTGGGACCTGTCATGAAGATGGAGCCTCTCAGTAACCTGCAGGTAACACCTTCACTATATTTATTTTGGTTGAATAGTAGGAATATTTCCTTGCTTCTACTTCTCTTTTCCATGAATCCTACTCTGGACTGAATTTTTGAGCATCACACTTGTGACAGTGATAGGACTTGTCGACAAGATGATTGTCAGCTGTCAAGTACAGACTAGAAGTAAAGTGTTATGTTTGCCAACTTTTTTCAACACTGGCCTTATGATGACACTGATGCCTCAAGTTTGCTGTCCTTACATGACTTCCTACTGGCCCCCCGGGCCTCAAACATTGTGACAACACTCTTTCAGAGATGCATTGTAATGTCAACAGAGTTGGCAGACATGGCTGCTTGTTAAGTTTTTGGCAATTGAATAAAAACATTCCCTTGCTTAATCTGTCAAATTCCAAATTAAAGTTGGCAGTATTTCAACTTCTCATTTATCCCAAGTTTACTGAACGAAAACATCAAAATGCTTCATGGTTGAAATATTCAAGGGCCCGACTCTATCTCTTGAGACATTAAGTTTTGTCCATGTGTCTTAAATGATTAGTAATGCATCCTCTGTTATTCAGCTATACCGTTGAATTCCCATGTTGCGTATAAAACGGAATTAAAACATGAAACAGCCTTCAGGACGGCTGTGATAAGTTGTAAATAAAAAGAACGACAGAGGCTGGCTTGTTTTTGATCAGGGTGGTTCTTTTAACTGGGCAGAATGGCGGTTGGTTGCTGTGTGCAGCTGGACAGAGAAGATAAGAGCGTCAAGGTGGATGATAGAGGTGGGGGCGGTCATTAGTGGTCACACAACACATGGCTCCTTTGTTTCTCCTGGCCTCAGTAGCCCTGCTAACCTTTCTACTCTGCTTCTTCTAGGCCCTGCTTTGATGCATATTATTGTTCTGACATTTTCTCAGATATTTTATTTCGAGAGGTTCTGTGTGGTTTTTGTATTGATGTATTGATTAATGTCCTGAATATTATTATTTTTTGAGTGCTCTTTTAACTACTCGTGTGGTAGCGGTAGAGTTTTTTGAAGGTAGTCTACAGTCAGTAAAACCCTTTTATGACAAATGGACACACTCTAGGGAAATGCTTAAATAACTTTGGGTGCAAGTTTCGTGGCTATTTTCAACTGTAGCTCCTTCTGCAATGACACAGCAGTTTAATTTAATGAAAGTGGTGACTTTGGTTCATATACAGTATGCTTATTCAGTAGGAAAGAATTTCGAAAAAAGTAGTCTCATACAGTGGTTCTCTAACTGGAGAAGGCTGTATAAATACTTTGGCACTACAGCAAAGAAACTAGAAATGTGTGAAAGGTCTGTCAAGTAATTGTACAATGTTTTCGATCAATGAATAAATCGCTGTTGCCTGCTGAGCCGAATCAAACAGATCATGTTGTCTAATGATGAGTTTAGTTACTAAATGTCATTGTTTATAGCCGTCTTGTTAAATGTATGGCTTTCGCTGTGTGATACAGAGGTGCTCTTTGTCCCGTGAGGCTTAATGTTAAATACAAATATAATTAATTTCTTACTATGTAAGTGTGACGGTCTTAAATTAAGGCAGGCACAACTAAGGATGATTTTCATTATCGTTTAATTAAATTATTTTGTTGTTTGCAGCCCAAGTTAACGTATTCAAATATATTTTATTGACTCATAGAAGCCTAAGAAAACATTGAATATTAAAGAAATAGATGCTGGAACCAAATCAATTTACCATTTTACCAGACAAAAACAAATCAATTAATTTTCAGTCAATAGATTAATAATTTCAGCTTTGGTTCAAAGTTCATTGTGAATGTGAACTACTAGCCTAAGTGAGATAAATAATGCAAACCAAAATGTGGACAGTACTTCAAAAAGGGTGTGCTGTCCCAGCTAGCAGGAGAATTTGGGAACGTCTTTATGTGCTAAATAGATGCCTGACAGAGTTCAGGAACCACTAGTCTCTTAGATTAACTCAGTGCAGCACATCAGAGCTGTGACAATATGTCAAAAATGATTTCACACCACAGCCTTTACAGTTGGATTTTGTGTCTGACCCTCTCTCATAGGTTATTGTAGAGCTCTTTTAGTTTACAAACATACTGAATGAAGCTCTGTGTAGTCTGACTCGCCGTGTTACCGGCAGTCCTGCATTGCACCCAGGAATAAGACGCCCTAATGAATTATTCACGGGGTCTTTCTTCTGCTATCCTCCGGCTGAGTTTACTGTCCTACTCCCAGCACTTCGTTGTTGAGCAGCCTGATCAATATCACTGCCGGCCGCCTGTTACTTCAGGTGCCTTCATTATGCCACAGCTGTTCTCGTGTTTCAGTATCTTGTTTTTTTAGGCCCATTCATTGTAAAAGGTCCTGCCTGAGGAGCTTAGGCTAACGCACTGATTCTCTTTTTTAAATACAGAGCTGCTGTTAGGTGCTATTTCTGTTTTCTCTCGCTTGTCATTCTTGTTTGTGTGTTATCTTTATTTGTTTGTAGGTTATTTTTAACCACTGTCTGCTATTCTTATCTCCTTATATTTTAATCTTTATTTATATACTCTTGCAAGCCACTCTCTGAAGGCTGTTTGTAGAAATTGTTATATTTATATTTAGCTTGTAACTAACAGTTGCTGATAGACAAATAGGAGCCTTGTGCTTACTGTAAGATACATGTGAGTGAGTTTGTGAGTCTGAGATTCCTAAAGGATTGCAGCCCTCCTGTTCAGTAAACGGCACACATAAACCACCAATGCCATCCTTGAAGGGCACTTGAAAAGTAATTACCCATATATTGCTGCTTGTTTCTCCTCCTCTCGTCCTCCTCTACCCCCTTCCTTCGATGTAATCACCCTCGCAGGTGGCCGTTAAGAACAACATTGACGTATTCTACTTCAGCTGCCAGTACCCCATCAGCATGCTGTTTGTAGAGGACGGGAAGATGGGTGAGTGTCTCTTGGCTAAATCTCTCCATTCAAAGGCCTCAAAACCTTGCTGACGTCAACAACATACACTGACGTCAGTCCTTCAGCAAGGACACATTATGAGCATGTGAAGAAGTGACGTAAATGTGTGTGATGATCCACCTGCCTGCACTCGCTCTGCTCTCGGGGCTGCACAGTTGCTCCTAGATTCTACACCAGTGCTGTTTTTGGGGCTTTTTCCTTTTTCTGTGTGTTGCTGATTATTTATTTTGTGAAAACTTCTTCGCCCTTCTCCCTGTGGAGCCTTGTGATGGGGGAAGCAGCAGGACTGCTGCCAGTGGTTGCAAGCTAATGCTCCAGAGCCTCAGCACGAAATCTTGTGTGGAGTCAAAGTACTCACACACTATTATTTTTTTTTTATCATTTATTTTTATTATTCTCATCATGTGTCTTTGGACTCATCCAGTGATTGTGTCTCCACAGAGCGACAGGTGTTCCTCGCCACATGGAAAGACATTCCAAATGACAATGAGGCGCAGTTTCAGATCAAGGACTGCCATCTCAACTCAGGTAATAGGGGATGAAAAGAGAATACCTAATAAACACCACCCTGTGCAGCCATATCCTGCAACTTCTCTATATGTGAATATGCCCGACAGAGCAGTGGCGATTTCAAATACAGATCCTCACTAATGAAGCAAATTGTATTTGATGAGAACTCATCAGCTGCAGTCCCTATTTACGTGTGATAATTTAGTTTCACACAAGCGTGAGAGCAGCTGAACTGGAGAAGAATTCCTAATGACAGCTTAATGGAGATTTCCCCCCACAGATTAAATTTCTTCTTCATGAACGAAGAGAAAGGGTTTCACATCCTACTGGGGCACAGCAGCAAGACAGAGGCTGAGGAGAAAGGATTATTCTGAATTAGTGACTGCATCTTTGCAGCACAGACGGCTTGGGGTGAAATATTAGGGGATGATAAGGGAAATAGAAATCCTGCATGGTCTGGTACATTTAATGACTGTTTAATGACTGAATACTATAAATGAGCAGTAGCTTATTCAGATGGTTAAAACAGCTAAAATGTTGACTTTATTGTGTTAATTTCACCATCCACAGATGCAGCCTCCAACAAACTGCAGGGTAGCAACGTCTTCACCATAGCCAAGCGTACAGTGGAGGGCCAGGACATGCTGTATCAGTCAATGAAACTCACCAATGGCATCTGGGTGTTGGCTGAGCTGAGGGTGCAGGCAGGAAACCCAAACTACACGGTGAGTACAGTACTAGTTGTGTTAGCTGAATTCATGAGTTTAAACCATATCGCTTTTTATTACCAAAAGAAATAGACAGTGGAAGACTCTTTCTAGTATTTTAGTAAAGGTGGGGTATGCGATTCTAATCCATTCACGTCTTTATGTCAAATTCAGTGAATATCCCCCTCACGGTCCGCTAGCTTTCGCTCTTTGTACACAGCCCGGGATCTGTAAATGGAAAACAAAATATAGTGTCTCTGACCGAGCCACACAACACTATTGCAGCCATGAGTTGTGTATCAGGTAATGTGAAATGACTTGCCCACAGACATTCAGCTCACTTTCTACACTTTCTAGTTTGCCAAGATATGCTGTTTTTGTGATGTTAGCTATAGTTGCAGGAGATTGGTATCTCATTGATGTCTGGAGCTGGTGTGCTGGTACTGCGAAACTGTTTCATCTTCTCTCCATGTTGGCTGCACAGCAGCAACTTCAGTGACAATAAACCCACAGCACAGCTAACTTTTGTTTGATTACTTGCTGTGTCTTTGTTCGCACTATATCATGGTGTTGGTTTTCTCCAGAATCAATCACATACCCTATGGTTTTTTCCCCCCGTCTTCATTCAAGAGCTGGTCTTTGAACATGACTCGAGAACATGACATATTGATTTCACGTTCAGATTTTTTATGCTTTCCATCAAAACTCTGCCCTTGCACTTAAAAAGCTCCTGCTTGTGCTCAGATTTACTGTGCTTGTGCTCAAACTGTGTGCTTGCAGATTTTAAATCTGTCAAAAGCCCCCAACCAATAGGAAGCCAGCCTTGCACGTTTGGTTTACTCCTTAGAGCGTCTCGTACAGGCGGTTACTCTTTAACTGAGTTCATCTAAGTTCATCTACTCCAGCCCTCCATTGCTTCATTAAATGAACTTCTCTTTCTTTTTATACAATTTTTGGAATAAAGGGACAGTTATTATATAAACCAGTGCCGTTCGTTTTTGCTATAATAACTTCCAAATTTATAATGGTAGCCTTATAGCACAGCGACCTCCCATTGGTATGCTAGACAGGAAAACAACGTCACTTTTGTGGTTCAGGATCGAGTCTAGCCGACATGGAGCATGGTATTGCATTCACATTTGCAAAAAGAAATTAAGGAGATATCTCCAGCACGCCCTCCAGGCCCAAGGCTGGCTTTTAGCCCCCCTGAGCCTAACTCAAATCCTGTATCCTGCCTCCATCTCTTTCATTGAATTAACCCTTTTAAATCCTGGAGCTTGTTATCGGAGGCAGTAATCATACCCACCATTTTAACTGAAAACGCACATTTTGATATGTTTGCTATCGGACATCTGCCCCATCATATTATAATATTAAAATTACTGAACCGAACCATCCACCTAGGACCTTCCATAACTTTGATCCAAAATAGTCTCTCTCATGTACATTCTCATATACAGTTGAGCACAAAGTAGAGCCTGACTTGATAAATTAATTGAGTGTGATGTAGTTTACAAAATACTGTCATCACTACACATTTAACTGTCATTGATGGAGACAAATGACGGAGACATGATGGAGATTGATGTGCACTAATGAGTGGTGAGGGTGCTGAAGGTGGGAGGCCTTGTTGATTGTGCAGTGGTTGGAGTGTGTCACTAGTATTGGTGACTCAACTGTGTGTTTGTCTGCACGCACATGTTTGTGTTGTCCATTGTGTTCTTGTATGTCTCTGCTTTGTCAGTGCGCCACGGCCTCCGCTCTTAATGGATTGTGTTTGGCTTAGAAATTCTGCATGACTAGTCGAGAAACGATGACCTTGATGTGACTCCCCTCCCTGCTCATCACTCAGTCTGCTCTCGAATCATGTTTTTATTTATAAGGTGGCAATAACTGTCTTTTTGTTTTCTCCTGTCTAGACTATTTAATTTGTCAGTCAGTCAGCCCTTGCTCACTAAATCTTCAGAATTTTAAAATGATTTACACCTTCCTCAGTTTTGTACGTCATTATGTAGCCTAACCTGATGTACGAGAATTTGAAACATACGACTTAAGAAGTATTTCCTGAAATTAATTGACTGACGTAAAAGCTGATTTTTACTTAATGGTTATTTAGTATTTTTTTTTAGTGAGTATTTATTGTGTTTCAATTGTTTCGGCTGGAGGCGGTGTGCATTTTTCATTTTCTCGCTCTTGATTTGTTGCATTTTTATTTCCCCTGTGCATCCATTTGTGGTGTAACCTCATTAATTCAGGAGGAGTTTCTGTTCCGTACACCTTCTGGCATTTTGATTTCATGTTAATTTTTATGTTCAAATTGTTCCTCATTGGGGCTGGAAAGGCTCCTCTACTTTTTTTGGCAGATGGATCATAAATTGTTTAGTGAGGAGAAGACTAGACTTACAAGTTAACCGTGCTGCATGTACAGTGTGCACTCTCGTCTCTCTGAGCTGCCCGCTGCTGCATGGTCCCTGCACTCTCTTGGCACGGCACATTAAAGCCGAGCTGCTGAAGCCTTTTGTCAGCAGCTATTTTTAGACCTTAAGAAGAACAGCCCTGCCATCGCGTATTTATTTTATTTTCTTTGGTTTCTGAAGACATTAAAAGAATTATAATTTATCGAGTGGACACGTATGCTTTTTCTGCTCCTCACCAATGCTGTTTTAATGTTTTTCTGATATCTCAAAAACTTGATTGACTTCAGCTGTCCCATGATGCCTCACTACTTATAGCTGTGTCCCAATTACACACTGTGTGCTGATTCTAGCTGGGTTCGACGATGTAGTGCATTAGAAATGGTGTTAATGGACACTGTTACCCCACAATGCAATGCACAATGAAAATAGAGGAGCTTGCAGTTGGAAAATTTAACTTTATTGCTTTCTTTAAACCTGCAATGGAAAAAAGTTGTGACATATCAACAGCTTTTAAGTTGATATGTCAAAACCATTATAAAATAGTTGCTTATATACACACCCAGCTGTTAGGGAACAATATTTATTGAGAAGTAGTTTTTCTTTCTACCTGGTAAATACCAGTATTCACTCTCTTTAGCTCTGTCTGTCTCCATCAACTCTGAACGCTCCTCTGTGTTCACTCTGTGTTCAGTATAGATTATAGCCACTTTAAGTTTTCAAATTTTGTTTGACTGACTTCCATCGGAACTCATGTATACTTTATAGTTTTTATAGTGGAGAATTGGGACACCGCTTATCTTTTTGACATGAAGCATGGTGTTCTCATCTGCCATCTCCTGTCCCCATGGCAACTATGAGACCAGTAATGTTGTCTCATTTTTTTTCTCCCCACCTCTTGAGCTGGTAATTCTGAGGGTTTTAGTTAGAGTGAGTTTCAACACAGCAATGGACACCAAAGTGCTGCCCGACACACAAATATATCTGCCGTCCCTCTACAGAAACAGATTCACTTTATCTGTTTGTTGATTAAAACTAGGAACATATCTGATATCATTATACCGTAATATCTATCCCCTCAATATCTCAGAATTAGACCATCTGTGGGAAGTGTTACAAATAACTGAGTAGGAACTGCTGTGTGCTGTTATTGAATTTGTATATGATTTTTGAAACAATGTGATTTTCAGGTATTAAATTAACTGAATTGATTACTTGTCCAGTTATTTCATTGGTAAAAGGTGTGATTTTTATCTGCCTACCCCAAGTTAACAAATAAAGTTGATGATGTAGAACAAGAGCTACACCATTATTCTGACTTATTTTCCCCTAGTAAACATTGTTGTCTTTAAGTTTATCAGATGTTCAGATTACGATACTTATCAAACCATAATCAGGCATTGAGTAGGCATATTTCTATTGCATTTCTGCATTGCTGCATTATCGAACCGCAGCGGGTCCAGATCCCCATTTATGAACCTTTTCCAAAGACTCCTGCAGTGTTTCGCAGCGATGCAGAATTTTGGTTGTAAAGAAAAACCTTCCCATTATATATGATTCCACTGACTTAATTCTTGAAGTTCATTGTCTTGGGATGATGAAACAAAGCTGGATAAAAATAAGAATTCAGTGTCTCCATTCCTGCCATACACATTCAGGTGATTACATCCTCCTTCACCATTACTGTAGCTCCCTGTTTCTGTTTTATGTCTCTGATTTCGTTTGCCTACTGCTAATATATTACTAATATTCTAGCATCAAGCCTCAAGCTGAACACATGAATGCTGCAGTTTCTAGCTCTGTTAATAGCAGGCTCTACACAGTGGCTAAAGCATCCGCATTTCCTCATATCTCTTACCCCATGCTGACAGGAGTGCGGCTGCCTAAATGTTGCCAGCAGCAGCAGCATGCATTAGTAAAGAGTGCTGAGTGCACAGAGGCAACACTTAGGGAGCTGTGCCGTATTATTGCTTTATTCCACTGCAGCTCCGTTGTCTTTGTCTGATCGTATTTATTGATTATAATAATGGTGCCAAGCTCAAAAGAGAAAACGATGTCACAATAATGGAATTTCAAACTTGGAGGCTACATTGAAGAATATTGACATTAGATCCCATTTTCAGAACCACAGCAAAAAGAGAGATTTGAGGCCTTAAAAACAAACATGACTGGAGTACTTGGGCATTATATTCTTGGATTTAGTCTTTGTGCGTCGTTTGTATTTGTCACTCAAAACCAGCCACAGAGGGCCTGCACTTGCTATATTAGGCAAACTTGCACTGTGACCCCGAAACAATTTTCCAGTGGAACAAATGTGATTCTAAGAAATGACAGTGATGAAACCTGAAAGGAAGACACTGTGAGTTGGAGGCAAAGCTGCTGTGTGTGTGTGTGTGTGTGTGTGTGTGTGTGTGTGTGTGTGTGTGTGTGTGTGTGTGTGTGTGTGTGTGTGTGTGTGTGTGTGTGTGTGTGTGTGTGTGTGTGTGTCTGTGTGTGTCTGTGTGTGTGTGTGTGTGTGTGTGTGAGATTCTGTCAGGGGAAGAAAAATGCAGCATGTTTTCTTGGAAGTATAAAGTAGCATAACATGGAAATACCTTTAAGATTGTATTTTCCTGCTATTTAAAGGGTGAATTATTCAGTAAGTTGCGTCTACATGGGCACGTCCATAAGCTGTTTACACTCTGCTTGTTGCACAAACAGGGACATAGAGCGCTCCTTATCCTCAGTTAAATATGCTTTTGCTCATATGCAGTCAAATGAAGTTGTGGATGGGATCTCTTTGATTTGGGGGTTGTATTTTTTATTTTTGTAAGGTATCAAACGTGGAGCTGCAGGGGGAGAAATATGGTGCTCTGCGTAACAGGACACATACAGGTCATGGATGCATTAAGATCAGTACAGTTTCAGTATTTTTCAGTTAGTGGAGCACTCATACTTTTAAAGTTCTGTTTGGGGTATGAGCACATAGTGACAGCCAGCTTGAGACAGAGCATTAGTGCAGATGCACCTGGTTTAAATCATGTTATGCCCAAAACACATTTGGTATAATTATGAGACAAGAAAAAAAAAAAAACCTTTTGCACCCAAATTATGCACCGTTTAACTAGCTAAAGTGGAGTTGGACAGGTGTTGTGCACTTTAGATCATCTGCTACAGATTGTTTAAATAGCGCCTCAAGATAACCTAAACCTAAAAAAAAGAGAGACTATATCAAATAGTCTGCCTATGTGCAATAACAGTTGTTCATGAATAACAAACAAATAACAGCTTGCATGGGTCTCATTATTGTGCCTTTTGTTTTTTTGTTTTACATACCTAAAAATACATGACAGTATAAGAAGCTATTTCGTTGAATTTGTCTTTTTTGATGAAATGCTGTGAGTGAATTAAGTTCCCTCTTATGAGCAAACATCATCTGCATGTTCTGTGTTCTTGTATTAGAGAGTGCTCAACAGCTGTATATCCCCTCATTATAACATTCGTATCTTTATTTTTCCATTCAGCCACTTCTGCATTGTTTTAAAATGTAAATTCAAATTAATTGAGTTAATTAATACACATGGGTTATTAAAGGGTTCCATTTATCATAAGAGAGGAAGCACAGCTGGTTTTGATTGTGCAGCAATTAATTAGTGAAATATTTTAAAATAAATAGAATCACTGTCTTTTGTGTTTGGTAATAAATGTATAGACATCATTATTCCAAACTTCCAAATGCCTTGTATTTCCTGTAAAGAGTCTGTTTTATAGATCTGAAGAAGTAACATCTGCACCATGATTGTTGATTGGGGAGAAAATCAATTTGTGGAGCTGTATCAAATCCTGAACCTTCTCCCAGCTGAGAATAACATCAAAGAGTGGAGAGGCTGCCTCTATTTTCTCCAGTGTGTTCATGTGTCTGTATTTCTGACTGTAGGTCTGTCTCTTTCTGATAAGACTCAATTAAGGTTTTTCTGATGACTTTTGTCTCCTGGAAAAAGGTCCTAGATACTTCTCCTTATTCTGCTTCTTAACCGTTCATTTATGATACTGAAAGAAATATGATGATACGATGTCTGAGGTTTGCCTCATGAAGACTCGAAGTGTTCCACCATTTAATATTTGGGAGCCTGCAAAGTACCTGTTCTTTTACTTTTCCCTTTGTTTAAAGCTGTGCCAGTTATATTAAGGTAAAAATAAATAGATAAATCAAGTTCCCACATTAGCTTAGCCTGTTATTACTCCATCATATTGACACTATACGAGACTGATAGGCCACTCTTTAACTCTCTGCAGCCTCCTTCATACCACTGGAGAGTAAAAGCTAATTATTTATCTCAACTATTAATTTTTTATCTCATAATTTTGACATAACATTAACAAGTCTAAAATATCATCTTATTTTTCATTTTACGGGCAGTGATGAGCTTCCATACAAACAATGCAAAAGCTCAACAACATTACGGATATATGATTCTTCTTCACATTTCTCTTAAATTTGTTATATGGTTTGTCATTAAAACAACTGCTGTGTCTCCATATGATCGTTCATTAACAAATTCAATCTATAATCATCTTTGGTGTATCTTGTTGCCTGTAGTAACTTTTGTACTGTATGTCCTATAGCAGATATTTATGAAACCTGTTCTCTGTTGATTTTTTTTCAAAACCTTGAATTCTAACAGACTTCCTTACGAGTCAAATCAAATTCAACCCTGCTCCTCTCTCCCTCAGATCTCTCTGAAGTGCAGAGCTCCAGAGGTTTCCCAGTGTGTGTTCCAGAGCTACGAGGCGATTCTGAAGAACTGAAAAACACCGCTACATCGGCCCGGCCGCTGCCCTCACAGACTCCTGGCACCTTCTCCTGCTCTCCCTCACCTGACCCTCAAAACATGTTACAACTTCACGGAGGGCAGGAGCCTCTTCCTGCTGTGCTGGGCCTGGAGGCTGCACTCTGTATGTCATTAAGCTGTTTAATTAGGATGGTTAATAATGATTTTTGTCCCATTTTGACCCCATCAGTGATTGCCCCCCCCTGAGACTGCAGAAATTTCTGGTTCACTGCCTTTGGCTATTCTGTCCCCTCTTTGTACGTTTGTTCACAGACAATTTTCAGTTTCAGGACAAGATAGATTTTCTGAATGAACACTGTCACCCTGAGCAGGTCCTCCACTCGTCCCTGCGTGGGCCACCTTGTGATGACCTTTATTCTTTTGGAGACAGACGGCTGTATGACTTGTATTCCTGTGACTGTTTCCTCTGCATGAGCCTCTTTAATCATCATCTAGCCCCATTTCTCTGCAAATTGGAGTCTATTTTTAGTGTCTGCAATCAGCAGGTGAATCATCACTGTCGGCGTATTTATTTAGGGATCTTTCGAATAAAATGCGGCCCGAAAAAAGGCTTTAACTCTCCCTCCGCCTGTGTGAAGAGCAAGGTGGCTGTCCGGGCCTTAGAAGAGACACATAAATACTTACAAACTACACTATTGTTGTCTTTGTCATTTTGTAGAGTTTTCCTTTGTGTCAGTAGTTAGCAGTGGGATCGGATCCTCTGCTATCCCTGAAAGCAGTGTCTGACGTGTGCTTGGAATCTGTTGGTGTGTGTTTTTTCTTTTGATTTTTACATCAATATCTGGACATTTTATAGACTAGCAGCAGTCGTCCACTGCCTGCTCTCTTACTTAGTCATTCCATGGTTTAATTTGTGTTTGTAGTCTTGTTAGTGTACATGTGGCAAACTGGGAGAGAGCCTCAGGTGTGTCGGTGACAGCCACCAGCGATCTCTCTGCTCCTCTGCATCCTCATAGCAGCTTTTGGAGTACCATGGCCACCTGAGATGAAGGCTCAGGTGAGATCTCTCTAAACTCATGATGTCATGGTTTACTTCTGAGTAATAAGTGTGCGTGCAGGTAGCAGGTGTCTTAGCTGAAAGAAGGCTAGAACAACATCCAGTGTCCTTGTTTTACCTGCAGACTCTGAGTCATTACACTGAAGCCCTTTTTATCGGCTCTACAGGATGTATGCACTTTAACACCTTGTAAAGATTACAACAGAGGTGCCTGTGTATTCTGAGTGTGTGTCTTTGTGTGAGGTGACAGCTGATTCATATGAAATGCTGTAAAAAAAAATTTAAAAAAAGAAAATGAAATGTTTAATCAGATGCTCTTGATTTACATGATTTTGTTCATTGTGTGTACATCATTTGAAGAAGAACTATTAAAAGTTGATGAATTCACATCTTCTGTATTTTCTTTAGTATTGAGGTGTTTATGACAGAATAAAGGTAAAAAAATTGCAGTGCAAAGAATGGCACAGTCAGCCAAGTCCCTGTGTCACAGGACGCAAAAATGTTATCTCAGTTTTATTTGCTTGGCAAAGTTCACATTCCCAAAGTCCCTGGAAACCAGCGTGCTTTGTTTTCACACAACCTGCTTTATAATCATTCATGACCTCTGACGCATTCATGTTTCTTCTCATGGGTTGCTTAGCTCTGCTCCAACGTCTTGGAGCAGGCGCCTCTCACAGCTTTGCATACAAAGTCCACGAGTGGAGCCTGAGGTTTATCCACAGCCCAGTGCATCTTTGTGCAGGAGCAGCTCCTCTGAATCGGTGTCAGGGTCTTTGAAGTCCCGAGCTGCAGGGGAAAGTTTAACTAGGATTTCAACTGCATCACCTAATTGGGAAGACAAACACCTCTCCTATCAGATCTGTTCCTCTGTGAATGATGAAGGGCACTAAACACAATGGAGTGAGTAGTCCAAAACTGCAACAAGTGTCAGTGTCTCCTGTTGTTAATGAATGATCTATAATATCGATCCTATGTGATGAATGCAGTCCAACAGGGGGCGCCGCTGCACTGCGTTTTGGTAAAGGCTCAGTCCGTATAAAGGAGGTTATTAACTCCCAAACTTTTAACCGTGTTAATACTTAGAAACTTTTTTTATTTTTACACTGTTTATTTACAATAGTGTAACCAGGTTTATAGCCAGGGTTTTGAAAATATGGAATCCAAAAAGACATTTTTATATTAAATTATACATTCAGTTATTCAATTATATGTACAGTTTTTATTTGTTGGCCTTTAAGGAATCAAATTTACAGTATAACATTACCCTATTTAACATTTATAAGCAGTATTTTTAAACATTTATTGAATGGTATTTATAACCAGTGATGAAAGAAGTATTGAGATCTTTTACTTATGTAAAAGTAGCAATACCTCAGGGTAAAATTACTTCACTACAAGTAAAAGTCTTGCATCAAAATTTTACTAAAATAGATTAACAAAAGTATTAGCAGCAAAATTGATTTAATATATTAAAAGTACAGCAGAATGTATATTTAACAGTGTATGCAGCGTTTTATGTGGCAGCTAATTTTTACCACTTTTTATACTGTAGGGTAGTAATAATCTATAATGTATCATATTTTATCAACTGACTATATATTGTGTGTAAAACTTAAATCTTCAAAGTGAATACAGCTGTCAGATAAATGTTGTAAAAAGTACAATATTTACCTATTTAAAGTTACCAAACTTACACATACTGAGTCTAAAATATAATGAAACCAGCCTTCAAATTATCCACCAAACCTGATTATGTGACCAATGTTTGACTTCTAGCTTTGGAAAGATTAACGGCTATATGATCCGAGTGTTTTTATAGCACATCGTCAATCACCTGCACATATCTGGGGGTAAACTCATAAATTCACATCATCCTTGAACTTGGTATGACATTAAGAAATCAATGACACTGACACATTTAAGATGGCTGTGATGTGGTTTTTTCATGGTCTTTGAGTACCACTTTCAAATAAGGCACCTTTTATTAAGGGTTTATAACTAACTAATGACTATAAATGGTTCATGAGTAATTTAACAATGCTTTACAGATTAAAGAACAACTTTTGGGTCACCATGCTCTGAAGCCTTTTTTTGGCAGGTGTGTGTCTTCCAGCAGTACATTTGCTTTTTGTTTTATATTTCCCCAGTGAACAGTGATCCTACTGTTGAATACTAACTGCCCTTGTGTTTTCTTTGTGGCAGTCAGTTTATGATAACACAAATAAGCACATTTAAAGATATCTTATTATGTACAGTTAAGGAAAGGGATTTAAGATTAGATCATTATGGATTAACCATTATTTCTGACATGGACCATTCTGCATAATGAGTACTTTTACTTTTGGTACTTTAGATGTATGTTGGTGCAATTACTTTTGCACTTTTTGCATTCAGGACTTTGCACTACATTATTGCTACTTCCACCACTGTAATGATCATTTTAAGGCCCTTATCGCCCATCAGTTCATATTGTGCTTTAGTTAGTTCTTACCAAGTATTTGTGTTTAATAAAACTACCACTACCACCGCTTTGGAGGGCAGTTTCCTGCTTTGCCAGGTTGGTAATGCAGCCTTGGTTAACACCAACCATTGTTATTGTTATTAACAGCTTAGAGAACTCATCTATAAAGTATTAATAAATTATTTATTAAACCTTAATAAAGCCACTAGTTACAACTTTATAACGGTGTCTCGTTAGAAAGTGGTGCCACATTGGAAAGATGATGATAAAGCCGAGGTTACAAGCTCATCCAGCTTTTCTGAGGGACCATAACATGTCTCATGTTTACTCCTCAGACTTGTCGCTGAGTGGATCTGTGGCAGTTGTGTGTTGCCACGTTTCAGCAGTGATTGATGGCACACATTGCCCCCTGCCCTGCCCGAGGACCCTCTCTAATAATAAGTCGTGTCCCTCAGAGACATTATGTTCAGTCTTGCGCCGCTTCTCTTTGACCCTCACGCCAAGATGATGTATAGTGTGTGTGGCCTTTTCCTTTGCCATTTATGCGCGGCGTATGGGAGCTGAAAGCTTTCACACGCCTTGCGCACGACATGATCCTATTGGATGAGCAGCAGGGCAGGGGATATTGCAAGTGATGAGAGAGAGAGAGAGAGAGAGAGAGAGAGAGAGAGAGAGAGAGAGAGAGAGAGAGAGTCTTCACCAGCTCCTGTCTCTCCAACGGCAGACACACAATGCTCGTTAATAGGCTCCAGATGCCTTTACAGAAAATGCACGTCTGCAGGCTGTGTGGATTGCCTCCTCTCTTTTGAATCACATAGATGTGAGTCTATCTCTCTGTCATCGAAAAGGAAAGAAGATTATGGGGTTGTATGCAATTTCAGAACACGTGGGAAGCGTATTTGCGAGGCTGGCGGCTGTGCGCCCGTCCTCCCTGTGATGGAGGAGCGCGGTGGTGGTGCATCGGTGGAAATGAGTGAGAGGTGCGGGCGAGATAATCAATGAAGACACCGAGGGCTCCTGTGCGCTTGGACAAGGTCAGAGTCTAGTCTGGGTGAGATTATGTCCATGTGGAGACAACAAGGACGGACTTTTACGCTTCCTCTCAAGGGGACGAGGTCGCCTGGGGTTGTCCCCAGAAAACCAAGAGTTTCTCTCTCTGTGTTGGATTGCAGAGGCAGCTAAAAATCCCTCCATCTGCGTGATCATGGTTGAGCTTTATTTCTGACAGCCTCCGAGCTGCATGGCTCCTTTCTTCGCAACCTCAGCCTGGAGATAAAGTTTCTTCGCTCTGCTCGACGGCTGGATGATTTGTTCGGGCATCGATTCGTTTAATTGGACGCAGTTGAACCCAGTTAATGTGATTTAATGTGATTGTTGCTGGTTTAAAAAAAAAGAAAAGAAAAAAAAAGAGGTGGAGGGTGGGCAGCTGTGGATTGAATTCCATCAGAGCAGCGACAGAACAGCGGCGGCCAGCTGTGTCTCTGGACGGTCACATCTGTCGTTGTTGTCGTCGCTGTCCATGGTGCTGAACTCGTGCTCCAGGAATGGTGGAGACGCTGAGTATCGCAGTCATCGGTGCTCCCGGAGTGGGGAAAACTTCTATAATCCGCCAGTTCATCTATAACGATTTCTCGGAGGTGTACACGCCGACCAGGACCAGATATGTGTACAGACCCTCCGTCATTCTCAACGGGAACATGTATGAGCTGAAGATTTTGGACGTCCCGCCAATCTCCTCCTTTCCATCAAGCTCCAGTCAGGTATAATTTCTCTGTCTGACGACGTAGGTAGACGCCCCCCCCCTTAACTTTAACTTTATTAGGATGTATACAAGCTTTGGTGATCCACATCTAATTAATTTAATCCCTCCTTCATTTTTACAAGTGTCCATCTGTTCCCAGCCAATGGCGTTCCTCAAAGACACAAACACCAATTTTATTTATTCCTCCATCACTATCAGATGTCCCCTAGTCTACTAGTTGCTATGGAGACCCGACCGACTTAAAGCCTCGGAGAGCTTCACTTTGACGTTGTAAACTCTCTCTCTCTCTCTCTCTCTCTCTCTCTCTCTCTCTCTCTCTCTCTCTCTCTCTCAACCCCCCCTCATGAGGAAGGAATGCCAGCTTGCATATTGTTGTTTAATAATCATAACATGTCTTCTGCAGACTCCTAAGAGAAGTGTTCAGATATATCCGGAGGAGTTGTTGACAGTGTACCGCTGGCAGTGGTGACAGGCTTCAATGGGGCTCATATGCACAGAAAATAAAAGCAGGATTGTGCTGCAGGCATCGCCACAGCACCTGGTTAAACTTCCAATTTAAAAATAGAACAGCTTGCCCTTTTATTCATGGCCACAGGTCATATGCCACACCTCATTAGTCGGAGACACATCTGGTTGCAGGATCATAGCAAAAATGCACTGTGGCTCCAAATGCCCAAGGTTTGTAGTCACTTTACAAAGCAGATTTGTAGCTTTGTCTGAACCTTTCTTGTTGCTTTTCATCTTTCAGTTTTTTTTCTTTTACAAACAGGTTTGCATTTGTTCAGGTCTGTCTTAAAACAATACCCCAAAGCTCATATGTGTATAATAGTGACACTGTTATTGTTTTTCTTTCCCAAAGCAGCCTAGAAGAGGTCACTTAAAGCAATTCTCATGTAAGTGATGGGAGACGAAATCCACAGTCCTCATTCCAAAGCCAGTATGAGCTCTCAACAGTGTGACAAAGTGGGGATTTTATATCAAAAAGGCTGTAACTTTAAAAAGATTTCCACTTGATTTGAATGACTCAGACTGAACTCTCATATTAGCTCCAGCTGAACACATTTACACATATTTATACAGAATGAAGATAGATTCATCACTGTAGAGTTTGTCTCTCATCACTTACACGTTTTTCAATGAGCATGTGAGTGCAAGACAGACCTGAAAAAACTGGGATCCTATCCTTTAAGACAAAACAAATTTCTCAGCCTGCCAGCACAACAAATATGGGTTTAGTGTGTGTGTCTCTGTATATGTGAAAGGTACTTGGGTATTGATACAAAGTGCCCCCACTCCAAGCCTCTGTTGACTTGAGGTGTGTGTTTGACTCCTTCCCATTGCAGCCTTGGTGGAGAGGCTGTGACGATTTCAAGATAGAAATCTCCAAGGTCACCATGCCTGACTCTGCTGCTGTTGCTGCTGCTGAAAATGTCCCTTCTTCTCTCCCCTTTGGTGTCACACATAGCCCTCCCAAGAACAGCTGTGGTTATCTACACAGACGAGGTGCCACTGAGAAAATGAGATCAGGCCAAGGAGGAGACAAGAAAAAAACCCAGTTTGAACGAGAGGCCTCCCAAAGTGTTGGCTTGCTGTGCGCTGAGAGAGCCCGGCATTAACACAGAAAACATCTGACAGGCAGGCTGAGAGGCCAGAGCGATCATCCTGTCAGGCTGCAGCAGCATGTAGCTGTTCTACTAGATTTAACATTTAGTTAGAGTGTTAAGAGGTCTGCAGAGTACTTCATTGTTTCCTGTCCACAGAGACCCTATGTAAAGACTGATTGAGTTTCTTCCTTCTACTGCTAAATGGTGTTTAACCCCCATTAGGGAACATGTTGGTAGGTGTGAGCAGAAAGCAGTAATAAGACGGGATGAGTCTCATGAGTTCACGTGCGAGAGTGCTAGTGTGTGTCCCAAAGGTTGAGTCACATGAGAAAGCTTTCAAGCACACGCAGCTTGATAACATGCTGTATCATATAGTGTGAACCTTTCATGCTCATTTCAAAGTGTAGGGCAGCAAGAGGGGCGCCTGTTTGGCAGGCCCATTGTGGAAGGTATACAGGCAGAGAAAACCATTAGCCGAGTGCTGCCACAACATTTCTATCAGACAGATTTATGGTTACTCATTTGCTGAGGAATGACCCCGAGAGGCCTGCTGTACTTTTTCTTCTCCCCCTCCTGCCATGTCCTGCTTGTTCAGAAACCTGCTCTCTTTGCTTTGTCCGGTGACGTCCTCTATTCACAGCGAGAGCGGTGATGAGAAATGGGGCATTTTTGACTCACCGTCCTGCTCTGTATTTACCCCGTGGGCAGAGAGATGTAGCATGGGTCAGGAGCAGCGGAGCGCCGGCACAACGAAACCTGATTGAAATGTACTTGCAGTACACAACAGATTGAATTAAAGCACAGTTCTCTGCTGGAATACTTCTGGGAATAAAAGACCAACAGAGGAGACAGTAGGAATCTGTTGCAGACAATTAGAAAGGTTGCACAGGGTTTAATGGACACTGTCGAAGTAAGGGTTACTGAATGAGGTTTTATAATGTCCTCTGAAATTTGTGATGAATAAGCTGCAGAATGGAGTGAGTCAGTACGCCTCCATGCTTATGCACCGTGGCAATTTCTCATCAGTTCAGATTATATTTGAAAGAAGAACAGTAATGTTCTCGCAGTCTACTTGTGACCCCATTTTAACCACACAGACAACAATTTTTACCCTTTCCGATGCTGGAGACAGGCAAGGTTTCTATTATCTCACTGCGAGGCTGCGATAGTGTAATGATTTGTTTGCTTTGCGGTATGTCTGTCTGTTGCTGATAGCATTGCATTTAGAGAGCATCTGTTACAGTGTGTCAATAGGATGTGATGACAGATGGATTTAAGCCTGACAGCGGATTCAGCAGTGATTTTTCTTGTTCTTTTTTTTTTTTTATTATTCTTGCCATTATGTATCTCCATGACTTCCTCCCACACAAAACGCTCCCTCTCCCTTTCCTGCTCTTTCTGGACATTCTTCTCAGTTATCTCTGTCGATACCATGTCTGATAGCAAGGTGGAAATTATTGCTTTTCATGTAACGCATTGTGTCATTTTGACTCTCGCAGACGTGGTAGACATATGATGTGTGCATCTGTGAAGCCTACATGAGCTGAACAAACCATTTCAGTATTTGTGTGTCAAAGTTTTTGCTCACAGTGGAAAGTTTTAGTGGTGTCTTTTAAATTAAACTTAATACAATTAGAAAACTTACTGTAAGTAAAATTCTTAGAAACATTTAACATCATAAACAACAGCTTTGTAATTAGTAGAGTCATCATTGTCAAGCATAGTTAAAGGAATAATTCAACATTTTAGGAAATATGCTTATTTGCCTTCTTGTTGATAGTTAGATTAGATGAATGATACCACTTTCAAGTTTGTATGCTAAATATGAAGGTCCTGCCATGAAATGGTTAGCTTTAGCTTAGCATAAAGACTGAAAATCAGCCTAACAACACTGTTAATACTCATTAATTACCACATCATTGGTCCAAGACAGTGGTTGTTTTACACAGTGTACAGATTAAACAAATGAGACATAACGTGTCAGTTAGTGAGCTGTGAAGGTGCTGGAAGGTGAATTTTGTTTTACCTTCGGACAGAACCAGGCTAGCTGTTTGCCCCCATATTTCCAGTCTTTATGCTAAGCTAATCTAACCGGCTATAACTTCATGTTTACCTTACAGATATTAAAGTGGTATCAATCTTCTCATTGAACTCCCAGCTATCATGCAAACAAGCGTATTTCCGAAAATCTTGAACTATTCTCTTAGGCTTTTTTAATGTGAATAAGGTTTTCCAAGATTTGCTGCATTTGAATCCCATTTATAAGTCACATTTTGGGATTATGTGTCAGTGCACGAAACCAGCAGCAGACCATCCTCTACATTATCATCTCAAATTACTTATAAAAGAACAAAAGACCTACAGATTTTATTGGCTGCCCGGTATAGGTCACCAGTGAGTAATGGGAGCTTTATTCCCAGGGGATGTAATAGATTTTAATTGTAAATCAGTCAGCGTGGCGTATGTGTGACATTACTCTAATTATTAGGCACCCATCCCCCACCAGGTTACATCGGTGTCCCTCCTGTGCTTAATATTGATCCATCACAACCACCCATTTCAGTTAGCCTCCATTAGTATCAGGAGACAATACAGCTCTGTCATAGCCTGCTTAAAACTGACCATGGCCTGCGGTTGTCAGGGAGACATGTTCTGTTTGGCTCTTGAGGAGTGAAGGATGAGATGCTCTTTTTGTTAAGAAGGCCGACTGGAGGATACAGACAGTGGCACCACACTTCACATTCACGCTCCCACAAGCACACTGTCACATCCTGCAAGCACACACAAATAAACATGCCCACACATGCATTTTAAATGCATTTGATTTCAGTTTATTAGCCAGGTAATGCAGCGCTGTCTTGTCTTCCCTGCTCTTATTCTTCATTTCTTTCTTTTTGCATCTTGTTTTGGTTTGGAGAAGTAGTGTTGCTGTTTCTAGTCCATCCTCCACATTTAAAAACAGGACTTGGATGAGAAAGAGATATGAGATGACAACACAAGCTGCTATTTTTAGTCCTACAGAGGCTGCGATTGAAGCCAATGTGTGCATCTAGTGTTGTCAATTGCCTTAATTATCAGAAAATGGTCTTAATATGCTGTGCTATGACGGGGAATGTGTCCTGTTTGTTTGGCAGGAATAGGTGAATATTTTCAGAAGTGTTTGCCTGCTTGGCACGACGTTGGATTTAAACTGTATTGGACACTCTACCATAAAAGCAACAAGAAAAAATTACAGTAGAAATCATATCTTCTGTGACATGTTTTCCTTTCTGAAAACTCATTCAACCTGGAGAGAGACGGAAAATAATTACATTTATACCAGTTTTCACAACACAGTGCACCCCCTTTCTCTTTCACTTTTGATGGCAACGATTTTCATGCCACATGTTTGTCTCTGTGCCTGATCGGCCTCATTATCTCCCTGCTGATGTGTGAGGCTGTTTCTTCCTCACACTCACCTACACACAAACCCTCAAACACCCTCTTCCAAATTGAAAGAAGGCAAATTATTCCTCGCTGACACAGACGTGTTAGTGTTATCATCATTAGAAGTTACACTGATCATCGCCTGCTCCCTTAGCCTCTCCTGTCACAAATTATCAGCTGATCTTATTTGTACAGATTGTCTGTAGAGTATGTTGATTTGAAAAGCATATTTTCTCCAACCTCGCGAGCAATGTAATTAGATTTCTCGCACGCTACTATTTGAAGTTGTACAAGCTGTTGCAGTAGGCAGAAGAAATAATGTACTGTAAACACCATATGCAAAAGTAATCAGTTCAGTTATCGTTGCAAACACTGCTACACATAAGGGTTACATTAGCTTGATGCTAATCAGAGTCATAAAAATTAAAAGGTGTCTGATAATCAGCACTTTGATATCTGAGTTTTCAAAGCAACACGATGCAACAAACAGAGCTCCAAAGAGGCCAAATCCTCTGTGCCTGTGATGCAGGTGCATCAGTCAAAAAACACAAAGCCAAATTATTTACTTCATCAAGCAGGGCAGCTTTGAAAATCCCTGCAACATATGAAAAAATAAACTGCTTCAGTTGTGGTCAATTATGGACTTACATTTGTGTGTGTGTGTGTGTGTGTGTGTGTGTGTGTGTGTGTGTGTGTGTGTGTAAGACATTTTGTGAAATAATTTATTTAATCTTTTTAAAATTTAAATCTTTTTTCAAACCAAATTCTTTCTCTGTGCTCAAAACATAAACATACATACAGTGTCATAGTCACAAGGTGAAACAAACTTGCTGGTAATGAAACTTAGATCAGCATTTTACGGAATATGCTTATCCGTTTTGATGAGTGACTTGGAGTCTCCGCTGGTTGCCTGGCAACTTCACAGTGACGACAAATCACTGCACCCGGCCAAGATATAGTCTAGCACATAACCACCTCTAAAAACACAACCTGCTATTTTTCACAGATGAAACAACTGACATATAATGGATTAATTATTGAGCTTTAAAGGTGCTCATAAGCAGATTTTGTTATCTTTGGACAGAGCCAGGCTAGCTGTTTCTCCCTGCTTCCAGTCTTTGTGCTAAGTTAAGCTAAGTAGCTTCATATTTAGTGTAGAAAAGCAAAAGTGGTATCAATCTTCTCCTTCTGCAACAAAAGTGAATAAATGTATTTCCCAAAATGTCTATTATTCCTTTAAGATCTTCTGTGATGAAATTGTTACACTGTTATGTCTAATCTCTGTACATCTCTAAAGTGCTACCATATAGTTTGTGCATAACAGTTAGCACTGAAAAGGTCTGGTTGTATCCTCTGTTTGCCTGCTTATTTATACTGAAAAGAACAGAATTGAGTTAACCTGCACACAGTTTCTGACAGTCTCTCAGTCTCCAGACCCTTCATTAGCAGTGTTCGTGCACCCCAGAGGTTATGTTGACACCCTGTCTGCTCATCCCTTGATCCACTGCTGCTTTTTTCATCTTTTTGACATTCTCTCAGGGCATTTGTTTTCACGTGTCCCTACCCTCAGCAGATCTTTTCTTCCCACCCCCGAAGTTCCTCTGTTTTCCTCTCCCTCTTTCATCAGATCAAATGCTTATAAATTCATTGCATGCTGTTGGAGGCGGTGACAGCGGTGATGGTGGGTTGGTGAGATCTCTGGGAAACACAGCATGAATAGAAGAATGGGTCAGTGTGTTTCTGTTGAAGCAACTGTCCCACAGTAAGGTGCAAATGTACCCACTGGTGCCATGTGTTTTTATTACAGTTTGAAACTCATTACCATCAAACAAATGTTGCTGTTTGCCCCGCTGCATGTGCACGGCATTACAAAGCCTAGCCAAGCAGCACATAATGTTAAACAGTAGTATGCGTTCCTTTTCTCCTCTTCTCTTGGCAGAAGGCTCCATGTTTGCTTATCTCTTATAAGCTGTGACCTCTGTCATTGTCCTTGAACATGCGTAGCTAGGGCACTGTGCAGTGCTTACTTTGTTCTAGGCTGTGAGACTCCCAGACCCACGCCAGCTCTCAGACTTCATTGACTCTGCATTTTTTCACAGAGGCTAAGCAGCAGGGGCTGGCGAACTATGACTTTGAGCTAAAGTGCTTAGAATATTTTCAGGAATGCCACATGCTCTTCAGCTAACTGCACTCTATAAGTAGGTGCATTATATGGTGGCAGATCTATGAGGTCATGGAAACATCAACATCATTGTGTCACATAAACTAAACTAAATGCTAACATGATGATGGCAATATTTACCATGTTCACCATTTTAGTATAGCACGTTAACATTTGCTAACTGGCACTAACCACATAGTACAACTGAGGTTAATGGCAATGTCTTTAGTTTAGCGGATATTTCGTCTTAAACCAATGAATTGGACAAATAAAAACATTGACCTGATGGTGGCGCTACACGAGAAGTCAGAGGATCAGCAAAGCCATTAGAATTGGGACATGAATATGAGTGTACCCGAAGTCATAGCAATTGTTGTCAAGACATTCAGTCAAATCCACAAATATTCACTTCATGGTGGCGCTAGAGGAAAAGTCAGGGGATCACTAAAGTTAGAGGGGTTCATTGTCAGAGAACCTTGAGTGTCTGAACTAAATCTGCCAATCCATGCGGTAGATGTTGAGATATTTCACAGGATAAATAAAGACGTTGACTTGCTGGTGGCGACCTTGGCGAGAGGATCACCAAGGTCAATAGGATTAATTCTCTGGGCACCATTTCATTGCAATCCATTCAATAGTTGTTGAGATAGTTCAGTCTGGACCAAAGATTGTTTTTCCCAGAATCATGCTGCTTAACCTGACTGCACCACATAGTTTATTACACAGAACCATCTAGGACGTTGTTGTTGGAAACCATTTGGAAAAGGGCAGACACTTACAAAATATACTGACAGGTGATTGGATGAACCAATCTTTCTATCACTGTCTATCACAGGCGAACTTCAGACCAATCAGATCAACAAACCACATAATGACCAGTCGGGTAAAGAGCAGAGACATCTTTTCTATCGCCTTCATTGCTGTTCTTTGCTCTTCTATCAATGAAGAAACACTCTCCAGTTCTGATAAAATGTGTCACTCCTCACACTTATCACACACACCTACGAGTAGCTCATGTCGAAGCTGCCAGTAGTTCATCTTAGGACACGGATTGGTCTGAACCACTGTGGATAGACACAAGTGCATTGCTTGAAACCTGATAATTTTGTGATCTTGCAAGTCCAACTGCCTTGCAAGGTTACATGTTGCTCGCATGTCTAGGTCATACTGTTTTTCTATATGTCTGTCCTTCAGGAGTGGCTGGATTTGCGCTGCAGAGGTGTTCGCAATGCCAACGCCTACATCCTGGTTTACGACATCTGCTGCGTGGAGAGCTTTGAATACGTCAAGATGATCAGACAGCAGATAGTGGAGCACAGGTATGGTCACCCGGCAATACTGCTTCCAGAACATACGACCACTGACACACAGCTTGTTAACCCTCACACATGATTTTTAATGCCATCACAGTGTCACCAGTCTGGAGACAGCATCCAATTTCACAATCCTGCCACAAAGCCGTACAATTACGCATTTGTGACAGTGTGACAGTGATAGATAGTCTGCTTGTGGTAATATCTTTTAATTCAGCACACTCCGCCCTGCATCCTGACAGTTCAGTAATGACATTTGATTCTGGCATTGCTGCATGAGAGCCGGCTGATATGTCACTAGTGATTTAAAGATTATTTTTAGGGTATTTGTGCTTTTACTGAACAGAGCGCAGCCGCAAAATTCAGGAGGCTTGAGAACCAGAGGAATATACAATAAAGGTCTCTTGGGTTAAACCAATACAAGAACCAAAAAGCACCAAGAAAAGGCATCACCTTCTCATCATTGACGCTGTCTCCATATTATTTACATATTGAAAGGTGCAATGAGTGGCCTCATTTGTTCTGCTATGTTGTACATGCCCAAACTGCCACTGCACAGATCATCTTCACCTTCCTACGGTTCCAAATGTGTTACCCTGAATGTTTATGGACCTTGACAAAAAAACATTATCACCAGCAGCGGGGGAAGGAAGGGTGAATGCGAGAGGAATGGAAAACAGGAGAAATGTGTAATCATCGGACAGAAATCTAAGGTCAGACTGGAGGAGGGAAGGAAAGGGCGGAGAAGGGACAGATACTGTATATTAACTGAAATCATGAATAATGGAGGCTGTTGCAGCAGAGGGTGGCTGTACTGTAGATGTAAACTATAAAGAATGTATCTGTTTATTTTACTTTTCTTTGTATATATGCTTAAAACGCAGACAAAATACATCCAGAATAACCTTTTTTTTTTAGCCGTCTAGCACAAAGCCTGCCAAGATGTACACACAGTACATCTTGTTCTACTAAAATACTCCTCGAGCAGATATGCAAGGAGTTATTTTAAATCTGTTATGTGCACCCAACCTGTGAAAAGGGGAAAAGTGAGATGATTACTGGGATGTGTTTTTCAACCCTATATCTTTAAAGAACGCCTCAGGGCTTGAAAAATTGTACTGTACATTTCTCTCTCTGTGTCTTCCTCTCTGTCGAGCTATCTGTCCATCTGTCGAGGCAGGCGGACGTGCAAATATGCATAAGTATGCGAGTCCTTGTCAGAAGATGATGCATGATGTATCAAAAAAGAAAGCTTTAGTAATTATAAGAGGAAGAGATAAATTGTTATTGCAGAAGCTTTAACAATGTATAGATCAGCTGACATTGAGCTCAAGCAAGTCTCCTTCAAGTTTCACAATGTACCTGATTTTAAAAGTGAGTTAAATTTGACCTTCAGTAGTTTTTGGAATGTTATTTTTCATGAAAAACAATAATTAAAGCTTTCATCTCCACTGACTTTGGCCCCCAACCAAACAGAAAGTCTTCAAAGTAAAAATTAATCTCTTTGTTAGAAATCCGATTTATATAATCAGCCTTCTTTCCTTCATGATATTGCTCAGTCTAATCCTGGATTTCCTCTTGTAGCTGCTTTTTTCCACTCTCTCCTTTTAAGTAGAGCATCAGATTGGATTTCCAAACCACCACCAATCAGGTGTTACTGGGAATGGTTGGCCTTGATAACATATTCCTGGATGTTGATGTTTTTCATTAACACTATAGGATTACAAACACAAGTCTTGAATCAGTAATATATGCCTACCTCTGGCTTGCAGTTACAGTTTCACACCTCATAATGCTGTAAACCAGTTGCTGCAGAGTGTGGTGGGAGGCCCCTTGAGCCTGTGAGCTGTAATCCTCCAGTCCACCCCCGCACACCTCAGAAAGAAGGAAAAACTGCACACAGACATCTTGCACACGCCCAGCCAACCACTGTGACAAACACCACGATGATAACTGTGCTTTTTGAAATTAACCTTTTTCTGTTTGTTTGTTTTTTTTCCCACCTCTCTCATGCTCCTGCAGGGAAGGCAGCAGTAGTGAGGTGCCAATCCTGGTGGTGGGTAACAAGAGAGATCTGCAGCGGCAGCGCTTTATGCCTCGAAGGGCCGTGTCAGTGCTGGTGAAGAAGACCTGGAAGTGTGGTTATGTGGAGTGCTCTGCCAAGTTTAACTGGCACGTAGTCCTGCTCTTCAAAGAGCTGCTGGGCATCGCTGTGGCACGGGGCATGCGCCAGAACCACACCTCCATCCGTCTGCAGGGGGCGCTACAGAGGAATCGCTGCACCATCATGTGACCCAGAGAACTCCCTCCACCCCTCTCACCTTAGGAGTGGAGCGGCAGTGGAGAAAAAGGACTTTTTATCTAAATGGCTGGAAATATACCCTGTGGCCTCCTGCTTTACTGAGCTGATTTTTCATAATGAGGTTTATTAGACTCTTGCGCTGTAAAAGACACTAAAATTTCACACATGGTCATCCAACCACTTCCTTGTCCAATTCTGCCAAATGTATAGATGCAAAGGAAGGTAGGTAGGTAGGTAGAAGAAGAGGAAGCAAGGTGAAAACCAATATGACTAGAATAGCACAGTTATTTTTCCTCACATCAACTAGACAGTTGCACATTTGAGGCTGTCCCACATTACGCAGCAGCAGGTCTAGAGGGGCTGTCTTATGGCTGTAGCTGAGCCTGACAGGATGGAAGCTGTGTTTGTGAGACTCAAAACGGAGAGGCAGCAATATCATCGAGTCTTCCTTTTCAATTTGTCATATTCAGTAAGGTCAGCAGCGGACGCTCATACCAGACACATTTGGATTTCTTTGAGGGTGTGCAGTTAACGGTGAACAAGATAGAAAAATACAGAGCAGAAAATAGCTTATGCTCCATTTCTGGGGAGATTATCTCGAAATGTACAGATACGATTAGATGGAGTTTAATTTTAGATTCTGAGAAGTAGCCTGCATATTTTTTGTTCTTCCCCTGTCCCTGTTTCAAACTTGGCCTACGGTAAAAGCAGTTTGTTCAGATGAAGGGTGTTTTAAGGTTGTCTTGCAGCAGAAAATACTGCAGTCCCTATCATGATGTACTGTATGGCTTTAATCTGCTCCCTCCCCTCACTCAGTGTCTGTTTCTGATGAATACATTAAATCCAGGGAACTGGAGACCTGCAGGAGGCTGCAGAGCCTGAAACAAGAACCTGTGCATGCAATGTGGATGTCCGTGTGTGTGTGTGTGTGTCCGTGTGTGTGTGTGTGTGTGTGTGTGTGTGTGTGAAAGAGAGAGAGAGTGAGGGAGACAGAGAGAGGCAGGTTTGATAGCTGACATTCAGGCAAACAAGGGACAGACACAAGAAGATAAGAGACAGATGTTGAAGCGTTGGATTAGGAAGGAGCAATAAAATCCCACAGGGATGTCCTGACTGACCTATCTATCATCATATTATATTAAAAAAGCCTCACATACAATAGATGTAATCAACTTGCACTCAGATATCCTGCATAAATAACGAAGCAGAGCTCAACGACTTCCACAAAACACCCCATGAGTGCACACAGGGAACCTTAATAAAGCTTTCATATCAGTATCTGAATAGTATCTAATTGGTAATGTTGTGAAATTAACAGTTGCTTTTTCATTTGATTAGGCCTAGCTAGGTAGTTTGTGAACATGGCTGCACTGAAAGTAAGCAGACCTATTGTATATAAGAGTGATTCATGGGTAATTGACATGCATGCTTTTGTTGGTAGAGCCAACGGGTCAGGGTTTTAATTGCACTGATGTTTAAATTTGATATTGTGTTTAATTTTTGTAATACATGTTTTTTTTCTGACATTGTAATGAGCAGCTGAGTGGAGTGAATGTGGTCGTTTTTCACTGGCATGTGAGAGCACAAGCTCATGATTCTCTCCAAGATGTAGTGTTGAACCCTTCAATCAGGGCAGATGGCTGTGTGTAGTCTTTTTTTTTTTTTTTCTAGTAAAAAAAAAAGAAATATGTAGCAGAGATACACTAGAAAGCAACTGTGTGTAGCATGAGTTCTCATCGGTTTGTCTGCTGCGCGTTTCCAAATAAAAAGGGCTACAGTTTTTTATCAGAAACGTTACTTGTATTTATTTTTACTGTGTTAGTACTGTGAGTAATTTTGTTTTTTTGGACACATGATGAATTATTAAATGCATTTGAGAACAGCAAACTTTACTCTTGTCACTTTTCAATGCTGTGCGACATTAAACACCACATTCAGATCATTTTGACAACATTGCCACCTTGTGGTAAAGAGATGTTATCAGGAGTCAAATCAGAGGCAGAAAACTGATCAGGCATCACACACTGACTCCTTTCAAGTTATTGACTTTTGCTTAAAATGTGGATTTGATTGTATTCGACAAACCTAGATGATCATCTGGTGCTCGCCCCAGTGTCATAATAACCTACTGTCATTCAGTGGGATAATGACAACAGTCAATATATAAACAAATTAATAACTTCATTGAGTAATTGAGTAAATGAGTAACTGTCCATGGTACTGTACCTCATGATGATGTTTTTGGATATTTTCCCTGTGACACATTAACCTGTCATGGTGCTCAGGGGCAAGAGTTTGTTGTTGGGCCATTATTGATCCCCGTACCCCCATTTATCTGCGGCTAAGTGCATTATGCCTGTACCCTGTCACTTCCAAATTCCTGATTAAGTACAGTCAGTTTGTGGCAGTTTTAAATAAACACAATTGTACGTGTGAACGTGCTCCATACCAGCACAATATAAGCTATAATAATGCATTTATTAACTCATTTTGACACAGAAGATCCTCCACAAGATGTGATTTTTAAGATAATGATACAGGATTGTACCCAAGGTCAATCAACAGGTAGGGGCCCTGGGGAATTTGAGCTCATCAACAACTGTGAAAAGGTGCCAGATGCTTGTCATTGCCCCGCTCTGTGCATTTATGTCTGTGCATCTGTTTGCTGCATATACTATTTCAGGGTACCCTTACATCCGTCCACTCAGTATCAGGTCTGAGATCAGCATCCAAACCGCATGTCAAATGTTTAGGAATGTTTAGATAACAACATCACGTGGTGCACGTCTCAATCATAGACTGGAGTTGATAGAGCGGCCATTTCCATTCAAGTCCACAATTCATGAATGGCCAGGTTGGCAGCCGCTCCCTCCCGATGTTGCTGCTGCCATGGACTGTTTGGCACTGTCGCCATGGAAATCCGCGTTGTTTTGGTGACAGCCCTATCAGATGATAATGGAGGCCATGTAAGGAATATCCTTTCTATCCGGTCCAGCTCTGTGCTCTGAATCCTCTGCAGTCTGCATCAGCAAAGTGTCTTGGCATCACTTCTCGTCCTTCCTTTCGGTGTCCATTCCGGCGTCATGTGAAAGAGGGTTCACGGTGGTCTCTCTCGCCCTGGACCGGACCCTCCTTTTCTCCTCCCCCTCCCCACTGTCGAGCTCCCTCCCTCGTCAGTGCCGACGTCCTCGCTCAGGTAGACCCGGTGGGGTGGTGTCCCTGTCCCCGCTGTCCCCGGTTTATCCTGCACCCTTCTTCGGCGTGCGGCGGAGCGGAGGATGAGCGAGCAAGGGAAGGGCTCGGCATCCGCCTCTGCCGCGGCCCCGGCGCCAGGTTCGGATACTTACAAAGGCTGGCTTTTTAAATGGACCAACTATTTGAAAGGGTACCAGCGGCGATGGTTTGTCCTCAGCAATGGCCTGCTTTCATATTACAGGTAATTATTATTATTATTATTATTTCTTTTTTGTGCACACGCAAAGATTCCTCTGTAAAAAAAATAAAATAAAAATAAAATAACAACCAGAGTATTTCTGTGTCAGCACATCACTACAGCTGGCTGCCTCAGCTGGCTAGCAGCGGGCTAATAAGCTAACAGCTGTGAAATGGACAGAGTCAGCTGTTCACTTCAAGCTGACAGCGACAAAACAGAAACAAAAACAAAAACAAAAACGCACTTTGGCTGACTGTGTGTCGTGGAAAAAGAAGGGCCAGACACAGACACACACAGGGCAGCGACAGCAGTAATGTTTTTAAGTCAGTAAAGTGACAGAAATGTGGCACCGACGTTAGCTAGCAAACTAAGCTAGCCCGCTAGCCTCAGTTGGACACTACAGCTGCTCTTTAAACGCGTCCTAACTCTCTCTTTTATATCTCAGTGAGTCTGTTTGTCAACTTTTGTATTCCATATGATATTGATTCACTCATTGCATTGGCTGACGATGCCGAGCCCCCCTCAGTGTAACCAGAGACGGTCGCTTATCATCCTCATCTTCATCTTCTTCTTCTTCTTCTTCACTCTGATCACGCAGTTTCTAGCTGGGAGCCATCGTTAGCAATATGTAATAGCCTTTAACACCTGTGGCTCAGGTGCGTCTCGCCAGGGAGTCAGGTTTCCACAGGTGTGTGTGTGTGTGTGTGTAGAGGGCGCTACAGCATGGAAATATTAAATCATTCAAACATATTTAGTTGTTCTTTAACATATTTAGTTTGCTTTAACACAAAGGAGAGAGAGAGAGAGAGAGAGAGAGAGAGAGAGAGAGAGAGAGAGAAGACTTTACTGGGTGTTCAGAGCAACTTGAATAACTGGAGATCAGCATGAAGTACATAAAGAGTATTATTGTTGATTTACTGGCTTAAACTGAACAAGAACAGCTTTGTCATTGTCAGTCTAATGTTCATACAACCTTACTAGCAGGAGAAATTACACCAGTCACATGATCTAGTCTGAGGAAGTTCAGTCTTGACCTTGGGAACATTATGTGTGACAAAATATATCAACCCTTATCGTCCACTTTCGATCATTTTCGCAGCTTTATTCCCTTAAAAAGATTGTGTGATGTGGTTGAAGGCTCTAAAAAAGAAACCCTATAAATGGACCTGTGAGTTATGATTATTTGCACACAAGAGCTTGATACTTCTCATCTCTTTCATTGCTTGGCTCTTGCATGTTTAACCAGCTCACCTCTTCTTTCATCAACATTCAAACACACCACTTGTATCGCCTTCTAGGTCACAGTGCCTTTGGTGTATTAGGAAGTTTTATTTATAACCAATTTAAACTTAATATTAAAAGTGTCTCTATTGCCCAGAATACCAATTCATGAGTAGACCCAACATTTGGACCGTTTGCACTATGACATGGACATGAAGCAATTAATGACGCCTCACCAGGAACCACCTGTGCATATGCACGGTCCACATAAAAGGAGAGACGGAGTATTTATCGCAACAGTTGTTCACCCCATCTGACCCAGTTTTCCTAATTAAATGGTTGAAGGCGCACCCGCTGGAGTTCACCTTCCTCTGCTAACAGTGCTATTAGTCAAAGCTGTGACTGCAAGTTTAAATGCCTTCACAAATCAGATATGAGTGGGTTTTTTTTAAAACCTTCTAACTTCTGGCTTAAACGTGTTAATGCAAACTATAATTGCTTGCCGTAATAAGAATAATTAATGTGACACAAAGATGATCCCTCTAGGATAATTGTCTTTTCAAATGCCATCTTTTGCTGAGAGGTTAAAGTGCAGAATCGCCCATGCAGCAGGAATGGATTCACTGGCTTGTCTAAAGGCTCTTCTGCAGAGTGAATTATTGTCAGTGTTGAGGGGTTTGAGTCTGGGTTGTCTGGTTGCAAGGCAAAATTTGGAGTCACTATGCTTCCTTTCAGCTCCAACAGTCATAAATGCAATCTTCAAAACAATAGACATTTTGAGATCGGATAGAGAACATTCACTGCTGGTTGTGCTTGCAAACAAATCTCATCAAACCCTACATCTGGAGCCCATTTCATCCCACGCTACAGTCTTACATCCTAGTGCCACACTTTCTCAAGATTCTCTTTTGTTGTCAATACTGTTATTTGACACAGAGGTTTGGTAGCCAAAGCCCTTCTCTGCCCTTAGCTTGGGGTGAAAGGAAATATGCCTGTTGCCTCTACCCTCTATTAATAGTCCATTATGTTGTAAGGTGACTGCTCTCCCTGAAGTAAAGGTAGCCCGTCGACATCTGAGCACAGAGGCAGTGAAGCGCACGAGTTGTCCTCTCCACTGATGTCTTCCTGGCAGACCACATTGTGTGTGTCTGACTTCAGGCTTTGTGCGCCTCTGTCTGTGCCTTCACTGGCTGACTATCTGCACTTCTATTGTGAGTGAAGTAAAAGGGAAACAGTCTGACAAATGTGACAGCATGTTAATTAAAGTTTCCCCAGTGTATGTCAAGTGATAATTCTGTTGCATCTCAGATGTACACTTCCTGCCGAACCATTTTGTTCTTGTCCTACACTTATGAGACGAATACACAGAATACACTTTATTTTAATAACACGTAAGTTCACGGTTGCTGCTCTGACATAGATAATATCAGTATTTGTTTGTCTTTGAAGTTGAAGCACTGTAAGAAACATAACATAAACCCCCCTTTTTAGGGATTTAATGATGTCACTTCGGATAAGTCTATATTATGATTTGATGGATGGGCGTTTCACAATGGATTATCATAAGAGGATGCACTTTAAAGCCCAAGCGACTCACGTCACGTCAGATGGAGCCCAAGATGCAATGATCAGTTGTTTGATTTTTTTTGTAATATTTGTTTGCCCTTTGTAAAAGGTCAGTTTGTGTTTAAATCAATAGTGACTGACTGCCTTGACAGTCTAGCCAATAACCTGAGGGATCACTTTTATCCCCAAGGCCTGCAAAGGCTTTCTTTTATTACTTGTTGCTGAAAAGCCAAAGGGCAATAGAGGACCATGATCAATGCTTCGACTCTGTGGATGGACTGACACACTCAGCACTTGCGCCTGTTAAACTGTAATGAGTTTTATAGAGATTCAACGTTGCACTTGTTATTGATTACTTTTGGCTCTGACTCTGCAAGGCTGGCTGTCTTTTATTCCACGTCAGCCTTATGTCTCGTGTTTTTAAGTTTATATCACAGAAAGAGCCTCATTGCGCCATTCTCACCAGGACATGTGACAAGATCTTTGTCCTTCCTCTCTCACTGAACAGCCTTTCATTTTTAATTTCTTAATTGACTTTTCTCTCCCAGTTTTAATACTCTCAGCACTACTTACTCACCTCTTGAAGTAAATCTGGCTGGGTGCTTTAGGGAAGATTACAGGGCATTAAGGCTTTGAGTGCTATTGGAGCTGCCGTATCAGTGAATCCTGCCTTGTCTTTCATGGTAAAGTAGGCCTGCCACGTTTCCTTCTCAGCTGCAGGAGAGTAACTAGATAGCATCAATTTAAGTGCTCAGTTGGGGTTCGGCACCAGTCGTGTCCCTTTAGGAGAGTCAGGTTATGGTGTTACTGCTGGCACAAATAAGCTCCTGGGTGCAGGGAGGCGTGGCAGGAGAGCTGTGAGCCAACCAACCATGGGCCCAGCTGGAGGGTAGAGGCTGGCCTGAACCCTGTTTAGTAGCCTGGCACATCAGCAGAGTGACTGGAGCAAGAGATGTGGATGTTGTGATCTAATCTTGTTAATGGGCTCTTCGTCTGTCTTAGCACTTGGCTACAGTGTGTGTGTGTGTGTGTGGGGGGTGTGTGTGTGTGTGTGTGTGTGTGTGTGTGTGTGTGTGTGTGTGTGTGTGTGTGTGTGTGTGTGTGTGTGTGTGTGTGTATGTATGTAAAAGTATCTCTGTGTGCGTACCTGTCCGGGTGGTCTTTGTGGTATTTTTTTTGTAAAGGTGAGAGCAGAGTGACGTTAAAGAGAGCAGGGAGTCTCACCCTCCTCCCCATCTCATTGTTTCAGGCTTTCAGCAGGTCATGTCATGCTGTCCATGTTACAGTATCATTGCTTTGGTTTTCTTGTCTTATGTTTCCTTTCTATCTTCAGCACGACACGTTCCCCAGCGTTTCTCTGGCTCTCTCCCTCCATGTCTTGTGATATTTCAGCCCTCAGCCACAACAAAACCTATCTACATTCTCATGCTCTGGGTACTGTGTCCTTTTTCCTCTGCCTGTCTGTGTATGCCTCCACATGCTTATGGCCGTTTGTTGTGTGTTGTTCACCGGTTGTTATTCTGTCATTACATGCTCCAGATCGGTGGATTTGTGTTTTATGAGGATGTGTGCGCAGGGGACTGACAGGTAAAGCACACAGCCTTCTCTCCTGGCTCACCGCAACATGCAGGACCCTCTGTCATTGCCCTCAGCTGCCCCCACTCACTTTTGCCCCCTCCCCTACTAGTGCATTAATGCCCCCGTAGTCTTTATCTCTCTTTCCCAGCTTTTTGTAGTTTCCTTGACTGTATAATTTCATGGCCTGTGCATGGCCTCTCTTCCCCACAGGGCAGAAGCGATCAGCAGGGATCTCATCTTACTCATCAACAGCACATTCAGTTTGTTGACCCACTTACAGCCAGGACTCTGCAGCTGAGCTCGGCTGGGCTCGGCTGGAAACTGGGCTGTTCAGGATCCCTGCCCGCCCTCCGCACGGCTTCGCATGGCCCCAGTGCGGTCTTGTCTGCACAACTGATGTGCAGAGAGCGCCAGCAGAGGAGCAGTACACTGAAGCGCTTGTTCTGGATTGGCATTATAACAAGACTTGACTTCAGCCAGTAGAAGCAGTGTGAGGGAAATCACTGCCTGGTAGAACTTATAAATACACTTCAACCTCTGACTTAATAAGGCGGCAGCCACCTTGTCAGTGTTGACTGAGACTGGAGCTGCTGTAGATTTTAGTTGTTGAGCAGCAGCTGCTGGTGGCAGTGAGGGCTCACTGAGGATGAATGAATGGATGTTAGCACCCACAGACAAATATAGACGCATCCACATGATCGCATGCCTGCATGCTTCAAAGTGGCTGTTTCCAAGAGTATGGATGGGCAATCATGTGACACAAATGGTTGAGGATATGTTTGTTTAAACAAACACCACAGCATGTGATTTCGCTGATTAGTTGCTGCTCTCTGGTCGAGGGTGTTAATCAGCAAAATCAGCTGCCCGTGGCTGCAGTGAAGACCTGCATACACTCAGCTCTCTGAGGGCCATGATGGTCCATCCCTGCAGCTTATCTTGTCTAACAGTGACAGAATGACAGGGAGCCAGCCAGCTCTTCACCACAGAACTGTAAATGCAATGTCTTGTCTCTTGAGTTTTTTGCTTTTAATTAACCATATTAGTTGTAGTAAAAAAGTCATGACGTAGAATAACTTTCTCATAGATATGCTACTTCCTCTTTTGTTTTGGATGGGGTACAACAATATTAACATTTCTGCTATAGTCGTGTGCACTGTCAGGCCATGCAGCCATTGTTTTATTGGAAGATTGTTTTTAGAAACATACAGTCTGTACATTTGGCTAAGACTTGCACAGTGCGTATACATACAAGACTCTTGCCCTTGCTCTTTGTTCTAATCTCTTGCTCTGCGACTTTGGCTCTCCCCCCTGCTATCTCTCTCTCTCTTTTTCCCACCTCTCACACTCAGTTCTCTCTTTGTTCACGCTGTTATTCATTGTTTGGTTTTGTTCACTACAGAGGCTTGGAGCCAGACAATGGCCTTGTTATCTAGACTACTGTGGCCCACTGAATGTGCAACAGTTGGTCTTCGTGGAGGCTACACAGAATATCCACAATTCAACACACTCACAGCAGGGCAGGCAGGTCATGCTGAGTGAATTTGAAGTTCAGACTATACCATTTCTTTAACAATAGCTAATGCAAGTTTCATGAATGGATGACTGCACTAGAGAAGCTTTCAAATGAATCCTTATATAATCTGTAGCATTTCTCTGTCCCCCCTTGCCTCCCTGCTTGTGCTTATTGGCCATATGAATGTCTATTGTACTATCCTACCTGCAATACTCTATGACAAATGAGGTCAAACCAGTGTCTTCAGCTCTTGTCTCTGCTTGTTTTCCTCTCTCCCTGTCTGTCTCTGTCTCTCTTTCTGCCTGGTGTTTTGTTGCAGGACGCAGGCAGAAATGGCCCATACGTGTCGTGGAACAATCAACTTGGCCACGGCGCACATCGACACAGAGGACGCCTGCAACATTGTTCTGAGCAGCGGTGGCCGCACTTACCACCTGAAGGCTAGCACGGAAGTGGAGCGACAGAGATGGGTCACTGCGCTGGAGTTGGCCAAAGCTAAAGCCATCCGCATGATGAACGATCAGTCTGGTAAGAGCGGCTGGAGCGAGCAGCTGCTTATATGGAAAATATAAGCTGCATGGCATGATTTTTATGGTCTGTGCGAGCTGTAGCCTAGCGTGAGGTACTGATGCAAGATATTAGTCTTGTTTAACCTTGTTAAATAAAGATTTAACCTTGTTAAATAAGGGTTGGGCTGATACGGTTTTGGGCAAACATACAACAGTTAGTGTGTTTATCTTGTATTTCACTTTGTTAGTTCAGTAACTAAGATCCCTGCAGGGTCAAAGGTGTGTTCAGGACTGGTCGAGCAGGTTCAGCATGATCCTCAGGCCAGCCTAGATATTTGGATATATTTGATTTTCTAGTGTCCCCTGGCATTTCATATTCAGCACAGCTGGCGTTTCAGCTCACACCCCTCTTCTTTAATGTAATTTGGATTCCAGTGTGAGCCAGGAGAGGGCAGCGCCGTCTGCTCAGTCAAGTTGGAAAACAAACTGGAGTATGTTAATGGTACTGACAAAACCAGGCTTCCATTCAGCCTCCTCTTGACAACAGAACACTCTTCTTTCCAAGGGGACTTATTCTTGTATGGTTGTATTAAGTGTTGCTGGTCAAAGGCTGTGGGAAAAGCCTGGGAGGACCGTTTTTCTTCACATTTCACCCTGGCATTATCCCAGAGCAGCCTCCCTGCCCCAGTCGTTTGCAGACAGGGTCTACAGAGACTGAGACAGGCTATATATTCCTCTGGCCTCCATTTGAAAGTCAGATCACCAAATATAGACTGGGGGAGACTGTGAGTGCTTTTTAGCTTACCATTTCCAGTAATCGGGATAGGAATGTTGGTATATTTGTATTTTGCAAAGGTTAGGCTATTGAACTACCCACATATTTGATGTGTGTGTGTATGATTTGTCGTTTATGTGTGTATGCATATTTTCTACAGTATACTATGGGATGCTGATGTCCTTTCTTATTTACTGTCACCTCTGAATTCAATGCTTGCTTTGTCTACCTAAACCTTCAATCAGGCACAGAGTAGGCAGAATAGACACACCTTCAATGTTTAATTTATATCAGTGTTCCCTCCTGGGCCCAATCCAGGATCCAGTGAATTGGTTAAAAAATGACAAAATGTGGGAATTGGCTCGAAATACCTTTTTTTTTTTTTTTTAAGAAAATCATACAGTATCTGAAATACAGTGAACAGCTGCCTTTCCTGATACCGTTTTGATGTCAGGCAACTTGTTCTCAGACCAATTATGATACGATAGCAATTACAAGCTGATGTTATGAAAATGAAACAATTATCAAATGCTATTTGACAGATAACCTTTAAGCCACTGACACAACAGTTTCTTTTTCATCTCACTCTTCTTAGCAAACTATTGACATTTGAATGTATGAAATCACACAAAGACACCTGCTTATGTGTATCTAAGTCAAGTGAATCTGATGCCATTCATCACACCAGGTTCACTGTTCATTTCATGTTGTAGATTTTAACACTCAGAACCTCTTAAACTGTTTGCTACACACTTGTGTGCACTACATACTATACAAAACTTTAAATGTCTAGTCGTTATTGAATTAGTGCTTTAATTGCCTGCCATGTATTAGACTTTGATTTTATGAAGCGGTAATTTGTTTGTACTTTGTTTAAGCTTTTATCCCTTTAAAGCATAGAGAAAGAATACATGTGTGTCTTTGTGTTTTTTAAACATTTCCTTTCACAGTTAATTATCTGTGGGAGGAGGATTTAAGAGAATGTGAGAAAAGAGACACTGTGTGAGTCTGTCTCCAGAAAATTAAGTATTTATTTTAGTTAATGCTGTTGCTGCTGAGAGTTGACTATATGTTGTCAGTGCTTATCACAATTTAATTTATAGATAATTCATAAATCAGGCTCTTTTAGAGGATCTTAAGTCTTTGTCTGTGGTGTTAGACAAACACGGATCAGTGACAGTGTGTCTACATTCATTAATCTTTCTTCCCCTCTCTGTCAGTGGAACAAATAGCCCCAAATGATCTCCTCAGGAGAGCACAGTGTAAACCCTGAGCACATCATGTGTGTAGAAAGAGACCAAAGTTATAACTTGATATCCTGGACGTGACTTGTTTCATTACCATCTCTGGTTGTTCTTTTATCTTTTTTTTTCTTTCTTGAATCCAATAATACACTGTAAGACTCTTGTCTCAACTCAAATCTCAAGTCTCTCTTTCTCTGCGGGCCATGCAATTCTTTTCTATGTATAACTGACCTGAACCACCGAATCAACTGAATTTCTCATTAGTACTGGTGTCACAACTGCAGCCGTTACGATTTATAAGCCTTCTGTTGTAGATTGCTTGTCCATCCTTGAGTGCATCTTGTTCTAATTTTACCTTAGATTGGATTTGTAACAGTTTACTGAAGCCACTGCTGTAGACGCAGTACGTTCAGCAGGTGGCAGTGTTTCCCCTCACTTCAACACAGCCTCTCTTATGGGTTCCTCTGTTCTGTTTTTGCCGATGCTCGTAAAAGTGGAATCACAGTCCGTTGAATCACTCTTTCCAGTGGTGGCACCTATTTTAAAATTGAACACAACACCTTTGGTGCTTAGATGGTCCATTTTAGTGCATATTGGAAAGGTTTAGTGGAAGAAAGAATAGCAAAATTCATTGATGCTGGAAACATCCAGTCATCCAATTAGTGATTTTAGCTGAGTTCAGACAGCTAAGGTAGGCAGTAGAGTAACAGGAGCAGCTACAGATCCATAGCAGAGGCTGTCTTCCTGCACCTGACCCTGATGTTCCCATCATGCAAGCTGATGTGTATCTTGAGTTCTCCAGCAACAGTTCATTGATCTGCATTTGATCAGTAAGTCAATCTCACAGTCCTTGGATGACGTTTCAATTAAACGGACTCTTGTTACTTTGGTGTATGTGAGTAAACTGATAGTTAGATATATACATTTATCCTCTCGGCTTTGTTATTTGTCTTCCCTTTTACAGTTAAAGGTAATGCTCTGTCCATGGTCCTGAAACAAATATCAAAGAGGATGATGTAAAGACAGATTAGGACTTTCTCCTTAAACAAGCTCCATTTGTCTTTTCTTTTTTCCCACCCCTCCTTTGTCTCCCTATCTCTTGGTCCCGACTGTCTCCCTATTTCTTTTCCCCTCCATTTGCTCTGACACTCGCTCTTCCTCTCTCTTCCAGTCACCCTCTCACTCCCTGTCTGGTTTCCCACCCCCTCCCTCTTTCTCTTTCTCTCTCCCCTCCTCTTTCTCTCCGTAAGCCATTTACTCTGCTTTTCATGCAGCGGGGTTTAGTCCTCAATGGAATGACCCTCTGCTTTCCCTTCGCTGGTTTCTCTTGCTTAAAAAATTGCTATTGTCCTGCAAAGTCTCAGGGGGGTAAAAAATAGAAACGGGACAAGGCACAGTTCATCTCCTGTAAGTATGCAGCCTTTCTTCCATTTATGTTGTGCTCAGGAATAGGCGTATGCGTGTTTGAGTGCACATGTGAGTATGTGGTTAAGATGTTCAGATGCAGCTGTGTTTAAACAGTTGCAGCTTTTCTTACAGTGTATAGGTGAATATTAACCGATTTGTGGTGGATAAGTCAAAGATATCTGTCACTTTCATTGTTAGACAGAGGCTGTGTGTAGTAGATCTCTCCCAGAAATGATAAGAGCTCATTCAGGAGAAAAACTTTGCTTTCAAACTGGAAAACATTATTAAATTAGAATTATTAGAGTTATTAAAGAAGTATGTAAGTAAATTGTAAAAATGTTGATCCATTGACAGTGAATTGAATACACTGATAAAGAATTACTTTTGTATACATTTTCCCCATTGTAAAAGGGATGAATCTTTCTGGGCAGGGCAGGAGACTCGTGTTGTAGGACTGAGTGTAGGTCGTGTTTTATTACACCAGTCTACATGGCAATAAATTGAGACAGAAAATATATACAGTAATAGTTGCATCTTTCCCATGAAATTAATGCATCAGTAAATTCAGAACTCACAAGCTGATTTTAATGATTTACTATTAAAGTCATAGACTGTCGCAGTTTCACATCTCCTGTATTAAGCCAAGTACTGTATTTTATCACCTGCACGACTTGCTGTGTTCGTGAAAGGATGCTACAAAACAACAGCTGGCATGCTTATCATCCTCATCAATTAGTTCTACAGCGGCTGTGTATCGAATCGGTTGTCCTTGTTTGCCTTGGATGTAAAAGCGTGTGCTGGCACAGGTCGATTTGCTAGATCAACTCAGTCCCCAAAGACGAGGGAGATGGAGACAAAGAGATCAGATTCAGTCTTGTAACATAACAAACATCACTGCCAGATGAAGCAAAGCTCTTCACAGAGATCACAACCCAGCCCCCCACCCCCCGTGCCAAAAATCCTCCTCTGGGTGCTTTTCTGTCTTTCTCATGTTTTTCAGCAATGTTTAACTTGTTTCTCCCTTTTCTGTCTCTTAAATCTGTTGTGAATGTAACATCAAAGTGTCCCTGTGAGATCACACCTTTGCTGTCTCATAATGGATTTGACCTTTCTGAACTCACACTCCCTCCCTCCAGAAAGTGCATGTCCCACCCGCCACTGTTGGCCCGCCGACACATCGATCTTGGAGTTACATGCCACCTGCTTCCTCTCCCACTGGTTTTAAACAACTGGAACTAATCAAAAAGCTGCTTGGCATTTTCCCTCCTACATCTAAATTTTCACCTCCTCACTCTTTATTTTTGTCTTCCTCTGTCATTATATTTTGAAACCACACAGGGAAAACAGTGCCTTTTTTTGAGCCTATGTTGAATGGAGTGCTGTATGGACAGAATAAGGATGGCACTTCCCTATTATCTTATAATGTAAAGACATGAAAGACAGCTTTCTCGGCTAAGAACACACACCGCACTGGGTCTTCTGCTGAGGTTAAATCACAAAGCAGCACATGTGTTGGTTTTCTGCATGTTAGAAAACCGTCGTCCTGCTATTATGCTGAAGAAGTGGTTTCCGAGATAATGCTGGAGGTTTTCA